CTACGGTGGTGTTGGACGTAATGTGGCCGAAGCCTTGGCGTACCTCGGTGTGTCTACCAGCTTTCACACGGTCGTCGGTGATGATCAGACGGGCCGAGGCCTCTTACAACACCTCGAGGCACTTCACGTGGTATGGCATTGCTTGCGTGTCTTGTGCCTGGATACGGGTTGGCAGCCCCTTGTGTTTGGACAAGGCATGGATCATCGATGTGCCTGTCACAAGCTGACTGTTCTCGCCCCTTGTTAGGATGTGTCGCTGGCTCAAGTCCTGCCTGCCTCGCGGACAGCCACGTATGCTGCATTCCTCGAGCGTGGTGCACTGGTCTCGGCCATCGCTGACATGGATGTGATGCAGCAGTTGTTGCGGTTTCAGCAGTTTCCCAAACTTGAGACTCAAGACATCATCCTGCTGGACGCCAACGGCCTGGGCGATCACCTGGACGCCACTGTGCGTGGGCCTCTTGAGGCCTGGCTCGCTCAACATCGCGGTGTGTAGCGCCGCCACCATCTCGCACCTACATGCCTGTGTCACATCGATGGTGATATTCATACACGAGGGAATCGCGCGAATTGTAGTGTGGTTGGAGCCAACGTCGACCGTACGAGCGATTGAGGCCGGCCGTCTGACCACGCGAATTCCAATTTGGGCCATCAGCCCGGACTTTCAAGAGTTTGGCGTGCTGCTTGAGCAGCTCTCTCGCTCTGCTGCGCATGACTATGCTGCTCTTGACCCCGCTGATACGGAGAGTACGTTGGACTTTGTTCAGACTCGGGTACGTCATCTGCCCGTCATCGCTACAGGCGGGCCCTGCTCTTGCTCGTTGTCTGGGGTTGCAAATGTACGCTCTCTGGGTTCTATCCGGGCTCTGTTCGCTTGTTCAACACGCTCGTTGGCTGTTCTTACACGGTCTGCATTGTAGTGGACTCGCCTTTTTGCCGACCACACGCCACACGGGCGCGCACCGTTGCTCTTTCTCAAGCGCGGTGCACAAGGCTTGATTGCACCAGATGTTGCAACGCTTCAGGCTTGGGCCGACCCGTCTCGAACCACGTCGCCGACCACTCCACACGTTTATCAGCATTTTTGCCCCGAGCCTGTGACTCAGATCGTCAATGTGACCGGTGCGGGCGATAGCATGGTTGCAGCCATCTTGGCCATGCTCTTGGCGCGTCGATACGACTCGGCCGTTGCCGTGGGGCTGCGGGCTGCCCGTTTGAGCCTTGCCTTTACAGGCGCCATCAACCCAGCCTCGTCGCAGCTTCGCGACTGTGTGGTCCACGGTGCTGGTCTCTCCGACCAGCCCGTCCTGTGACTCGACATGCAAGCTGCCATGCTGTGCTTGCAGCTGAGCTTGCACTAGACTGCTTCCCGTGCCCCGTATTCTTGTACTTCTTGTAATTGACCAGCCTCTCGGTTTGTGTCTGGTGTGGTGAATTGCACTACCTTCATCATCAGATCAACTAGCGCCTAGCCGCCTACGACTTGCAGAGTGACTTTGGCAAAGCGTGCGAATGAGGTGCCTGCGGTGCTTTTGTGTGATCTGATGAACGTTGCTGCGTTGATTGATTTTTCTTGTCCATTTCCTTATAATCAAAGTAACCGTGTCTTCTTGTGTTCGTATTAAGCGAAGCCAGTATTACTGCCCATAGATACATTGTAGTGTGATTGTCTTGCCTTTGCCCAACAGCGAGCAAAAAAACACATGGTCAGAATTATCTGCTTCACGTTATTCCGTCGGCAGGTATACGCCGCCTGCAGAGGGGTCAAGTTCGGTAGAAACAATCGAAGCAGATTGAGAAATTATAGCAAAAATATCGAAAAATTCGCTCAAAAGTCCGACGCTACCAACTGTAAGGGTTGCTTGTCAACTCAAATTTGTTGTCATCATCACACACACACACGCACACACACGAAAATTTCATCTCTTTCGCGCACGATCGCACTTTGCACTACATCCGGATGTATTTTCGAGGGGAGCACGACTCTTTGCTCTGAGACCGGTTTGATCGAGGGTGCTACCCTCGCTGGAGTACGCGTGGGACGCTTGTCGACTTGGTCGAGGATACAAGGTGCTGACTCGCAGTCGCATTGATTGAGAGTCGGACCAAAGGCACATCGCTGTCATGCCTGGCATCCCAGCACCGGTCGTGACGCCCACGAGCGAATTCATCAACCCTCAACAAAAAGTCAAGATTGTATGCCAAGCGGCAGGTGTCGACATCTTCTACACGGTTAGTCAGTGGCCTGCTAGTACACATCACTGCGCGTTCCGGCCCGGGGCGCAACTCTCAAGCAGGCCTGCCTTGCGACCTTCTTTCCAGCTGACCGGCGACAAGCCTGAGCCCTTTGATCCCAGCAACAAACACACACTCAAGTACGGGTTTGCTGTCCGCGCTGGCTGCTCAGCAAGCGATGCGTGCAACGCCGTGTGTGCACCCACATGCACCATCTGCTCTCTTGCGTTTACTGCGGGAATACTCACCTGGTCGCTCCACTGCCCCACATGGTAGGTATCGCCGCCCTTTCACCCTGAGCAATGGCCGACGTGTCATCAAAGCTGTCGCCGTATCAAGGTTGGTCCGACCCCATGTGTCAGCGTCACGTGCGATAGCTCACAAAAAATCACGCGCCGGGGTATGATAAACTCGGCATCATGCGCAGAAAAAATCTCCGACAAGCTCCCAGCAGCATCGTGACGAAGTACTTTCAAGTCGACGAGGTAACGTGCAGTGCGCGTGGGTTGCACACCTGTCTGATCCCACCCAAGCGTCGCGTATACACTGCCGGTGCACGTTTAAGGAGCATGTGACAGTCTCAAGAGTCACCGTGCCCAGTGTGGGTCAAGCAGCAGTGCTCATCGTCATTTCTCATTGGGGCATAGGCAGAGCCTGTCGTGGATCTGCCCGAGACCGCGCCGACCGAGGACAAGCAGTCCACAGTGGTGTTATCTGGCGACGAGTACGGCGACGAACAACTCGAATCTCAAGTCCCGGATCCGCGTGGTGGGTTCAATCCAGTGCGCAAGAGCAGGAAAAAGGCTACTGCTTCAAATACCCGTAGCACCACGAGACGCGACGAGTGGGCCCCCAATGCCAGCCAGACTACACCAGCAGAGCCCTCATGGATGACCGCGACCCAGCGCCAGAGGCCACCTCGGCCCTTGCATGATCAAAGCCTTCTTGACAACCCCGTCCCAAGCTCTGGACACACAAATCACGGCCCACCTGTCGTGGAACGTAACGACAGCCAGCACCAGCCGCCACACGGGCCCACAGCACCGCCAAGCTCGGCCATGCATGCCCCAACATGGGCGCAGACCTATGGTCCCGCCCCCGGGCAATATTACCAACAAGGCCCACCTCAAGCCGGCAATGGCGGCTACCCACCTCAGCAGCAGCAACCACAACAGCACCCACCCGTCCCACCGCAAATGCAAGGCCCATCCAATGGCATTCCTTTCAGCATGGCGTCGGCTCCTGGCTACGGCATGACACCGGTGGCTTCACACCCCTATGCGACCCAGGCTTATCCATACCCGCAACAACAGCAACAACTGCAGCCACAGCAGCCGCCACAACATCCACCATACCAGCAATTTCCAACCCCACAAGCAACTGGCAACATGTCCTTTGGTGCCTACCCCCAAGAATACAACGCGCCTCAACACCAGCATGGCCCGCAGAACGGGCAATCACGCCCAGGCGACAACCTCTCGCTGGACGACACTGCTGCGCTGGTGGCAGCCAAGCGCATGCAAGAACGGGCCGATCTTCTGCTAGCTGCCTTCAACGGCAGCGGCGACGCAATCCACCAGGCGCAACACACGCGCGCGCGCGAGCGCGTACACGATCAAGTCAAGAGCCTCACATCCAGTTTCAACGGCGGTCGTTCTGTTACTCAGCGCCTCGATGCCTCTGGCCGCATGATGCGCCCACCAACAGCTGATGCTATCCGAAACGCCGACACCACCCGTGCAGAACACGAACTGTTGCGCAGCAGTCTCATGAACGGGAGCAACGTCCCGCAGATTGCCCCCGATGCTGCTCCGACCCGCACTGGGCAGCCAGCTCGACCGGCCACGGCGGCAGCTCTCGCCGGCTCAACTGCATCCTCTTCCTTTGTCTTCCCTCGCACAGTTCGCGTTGCGTACGTTTATCTTTTTCGCATGCGCAGCACTTTTCCAGGGGATTCACGTGCCAAGTGGGATTGATGGGTGCGTTGGCCGAGTATTCACGTGAAATTCTCACACGCCGCGACTTTTTGCGTGCACCCATGCCTGGTTATCAACCTGCAGAAAACAGCGTCACGTGGCCATCCAGGCCGACATGCTGCAGTTCGAAAAGCCCAATGGCAAGAAAAATGGAGCCCGAAACTCTGTACGGACTGAGGCCACACGTAAGCGCACCTCCGGTTGTCGTGGTAGCCCATCATATGGGGCAGTGCAGCCAGTCATAGCACATGGCCTCTTCAAAATCAGTCGTTCGCATGAATTCTTGGCTTTCATGCTCACCAAGGCTGTCCTGTCTGTCGCAATAGAGCCACAAGGTCCCGGCATCTCGGACGTGAGTCCCGGCCAGGGATACTGGCGCTTACAAGTTGATCACCTGGCACACTTCATGAAACAGCACCTGCGAACATCTCACACTCTGCAAGCTGCCATCGGCAAGCCGCGGTTCAAGGCCGTGGAACAGTTACGCGTCGAAGAAACACCTCGACACATTGTGGTGACCACATGGTTGACCAAAGCAAATGCACCAGAAGCAGGTAAAGGGGAGGCGGTGCCTGTGAATGCTGCCAAAACTGCTATCGAGCGTGTGCGACTTGAACAAGCCCGCTCCAATACACGAGGCGCAGCTGCAAATACCAAGCAGCGGCCCCAATCAAGTGACTTGCTTCGAAATGGCCGACGTCAGCAGCGCGGCCTACGAAGCATGGAGGACGAGGAGGAAGAGGATGATCGAGAGTCTGCGCATACTTCCTCGCGAGGTGGCGTCGGAAAAGGCCGGAGCCGCTCACACGCCAAAAACAATAAACCTGCCGACAGCGATAGCGATGATGGAACGATTGATAGCTTCAGCTTCTCGTCTTCCAGTGAGGAGGAAGATGAGGAAGAGGCCGTCTCGAGCAAGGTTACTCCGCGAAAGCACAAAACTGGTTCCCGCACGCCAGCCAAAAGCCCTGCTGACGGCCTGGCAGCGACACTCAGACAGTCAGTTGAGCGTCGGCGTCAAGGCACTTCGCCTGCAAGTCGTCAGCGCTCTCAAACGGCCGATGGACATCGTCAGCAGCGAGCCGATCGTTCGCAGACGGGTTCTCGCTCTTCATCACGACCGGGCAGTGCGGCTCCGCGTGAGCTTGAACTGTGAGTCGCCGGGGGTTCGGTCACTGTTTTTGCGGTGCACGGCTCCTAGCCTGCCTGTTTGCCGGTACGGCTCACCAACCTGCCGCTCACTGTGCCTGGTTGCTTAGGGATCCCACCCTGTTGCTCTTTAGGGAAGTGGCACAATTTGGACAAGGGCGTGCGCAGTTCATTAAGGAACAATTGGAAGCTGATGTGAACGTGAATCAGGTGGATCGCTCTTCCAAATGCACGCCGCTTTATCTCGCGTGCAAGCACGGCCACCTTGACGCCGTGCGAGAGCTGTTGGATCATGGTGCCAAACCAGACATCCTCTGCGGTCGTGATGTGAGATACCGCAATGTCGTTTCCGTTGCTGATGCGCCTTGCTAGGCCAAGTGATGTCCTCTCTACGATACCGCAAAACTCATTTCTGTGTTCGGTGATGCCGTGCTTTTTATTTTCTGTGGTAGCGGGATACGGCCCTACATGCATGCATTTCTGCTCCTCGAGCGCAGCTTGAAATGGCTGAGCTGCTTGTTGCAGCCAAAGCAGATTTGACCCTGGTGAATGCCCAGGGCCAGTCGGCGCAAGTTCTTGCAAGTATGTCTTCAACAACTTACTGCGATCCGAGCCCATCGAGTGGGAGGGCACGAAAAGGGTGGATATTATTCATGCATTTGTCGGCCCGTTCAGAGTGTAGCGCTCACCAGATTCGTGTGCCCATTCATAGCGTCGCGTTCTCGCAATGACATGGCCAAAATGTTGGCAAAAGCCTTGGGAGAGCAGATGCTGGACAAACACAGCCAATCCACTCTCAAATAACCTTTTTTTTTTTTTTTGAGATGCGAGAGCTTATGCATAGCAAGCGTTGAATTAGGACATGGACTGGTGCGACCACATATTCGTGCCGTGCACATACAATTGGATGAACATAGTGTATGTAGTGTTTTGAGGGCCACCGCATGACTCTTGCCCCGGGGTTGAGGCGCGCACAATGGTCAGAGCACCCTCTTTGTATGCTGTTGAGAATGTGCGCAAAGACACTTCAACCATTAAAGAAACAAAACAAGCAAGACACTTTTACGAGGTTGAGGATGGGATGCTTACTCATGCTTGGGGCGTTTTTGAGTGGGTGCGCCATCTGTAGTTGCACCCCGGCTCACACTACCCCTAGAGTGAGGCACCAAGCTGGGTGAGAACATGGGGCAACCTGGAAAAAAGGGTGCTCAGGCAGCTCAACGCTTACGGGATTGGGCCTCCACGTTTGTGAGCATCATAGCACGCTTTCATGCGGTCCTTGTTGGTCTCTGACACATCACTGTGGTCTACAATCGGCTCAGGATAGTCCTTGCCTATCATACAAGGAGAAGACACGACGAGGCGGTGGAAACAGTCCGCTTGCACGTGAGCATGCTCGTTTCCAGATGGCTATCAAAGTGTCGGCACAAACTTGTGTGCAGGGACACAGCGCTATGCGGCTAGACCCACCGATGATGCACTTGGCCTTTTGCTGCACCTCCTTGGGGGCTTTCCAGGGCTCGTAGATGTATCTATCGTGCGGCCAGTGAGTCCAGTCATTTTGAACACCGCAACAACTCGTTGACAGCCAGCCATCGAGCTCTCTTAAGTCTGGTGTTCGGCTGCCCCACACCAGGCGATACCAACTTCTTGGGCATGTCCTTCAACACGGGAAGGTATTTACGGATGAAGGCACCCTCTTTGTCATACTTCTGACCAAATCCAATGGGCGAGTACACTCTGTATTGTTACACGAACAATGTGCATGTGAAGTAAGCGTGGGTCGAGTATGAATACAGGCTTGCGCTTGTCTTGATAAGTACAAGTGATGGGCCTACCGGAAGTATTGGTAAAAAAAGCTTGAGCAGCTCAGCCACATCCAATTGGCGTTGTTGAGATGCCAGTCAGCATCGACCAGATGCTTTTCAAAGATGCGCTGATTCCCAGCAACAGCATGCATTGTGGTATGGTGTCAGCGGGCAGCCGTTGGACGTGGCCCAACGAGCGGAACGAGGTTTTGGTCATGTGACGGGTACTGAAAGTTCCATTGCACGTACCGCGCCGTGTTCCCATGACTGATAGAGGTCACCGCGGGTAAGAAAGCAAGCAACCGCATGGCGAGCCAAGTGATGCATCCAGCCCTCATGGCGCAACTAGCGTCCCTCGCAATTGTGCAAAGGTGAGAGAAAGCCAGTAGCACATGGTGCACGCAAAGGCAGGCTGGGGACATAGAAGCGGCCCCACGTCAAGGCACAAGGCGCTTTCCACGGAGCGCGCAAAAACAAACTTGGGCCATGCATGCATCAATCCAGGGGTAGCCCGTCTTTGAGTTCTCCCAGGCATCGAGGAATTTCTCCGAATAGTCCCAGTCAATTTGACGGCAGATGCGGTTGCCCTTCATCTTGTCAAAATTCTTGACAGCGTAGCCACACAGGTGAAATAGCTCGCGAAAGAGCAACTGGCCGTGCAGGGACTCTGGTGGTGTGCTGTGATCCTTCTTCTCATCGTACACCTGCCCTTGTCAGAAGCAAAAAGGCAAAAAAAAAATTAGTGGGAGATTGGGGTGAACCATTGATCGGTCATCATACATTGGCACCATTGCCTGACCTTTTGCACATCATACCAAAACTTGCGAACCGATAGACAACCCATCTTCATGTAAGGGCTGAGACCGGTGGTGTCGGGGTCAAGAGCCGCAGGACTACTCGTCGACAGTTGCACACAGAACGCAAAGGTGGATCGTCAGAGAACATGCACGGGAGCGCAGGCTCGGACATCTGGTGAGGCTCAGCTGAGAAGATGAATCATATCTGCCAAAGGAGCATCGTACTTGGTCTTGGGCTTCTCGAAAGTTGCAATCCAATTCTTCTTTTTAATAAAATGCTCGAGGCGCTTCAGGGCCTCTCGTTCACCTCCGGGAAAAAGGACCTTGAAAAACGACGGCCATGTAGTTATAGATGCCAGGACAGCGCGCTTGTACGACGGGCTGGATTACGGGCTGGGTAGCGACGTCAGGATTACGGGCGGGGCGGCTAACCATTTGTGGGGCCTTGATGGGACTGTAGCCCATCTCTTTGAGCGTTGGGACGTCGTAGGATTTGTCCTGGCGATCCTGTCAAAGGTGGGTCCCACGAAATCACGGGAGAGAAGTCAGAAGGAATTCGCTTGATGAGCGACAACTAGAAGCCGTAGTAGCAACAAAGAGACCAAGAGCAGTATGACAGCACCAGTGCTCATGCTAGTGGGAAGGAGGGGGGAGCGGGTTCACCTCGTCGGACACGTCTGGAAAATCACTCTTTGTTGGTGTTTCTACCGGCTGGGGAGGTGGGCCGACTTGACGGAGGAGGCTTTGCATGGGTTTGATTCCTGTGGGAACCTGATACAAGGTGAGGTTTGCTTTTGGTGCAGGCAAGCAGTGCTTTGAACATTTAATGAGCCAACCTTACTAGCGCCACCACACTTTTTGAGATACGATTCTGGATCGTGTAGCATGTGGCCTGCTTCAGCAATGACCTCGACGTTATGCTGCACAAGGCATGTCAGGGTGAGCCAAACAAAACCCTCTTCCTTTGGCTTCTTTGCTCGCGCTGGAGCAAAAAGAATGCGACGGTTTGCTCCACCCTGACTTCATTCTGTGAGCCTAACAAAGGGCTAGGCAGAGCTACCTTTTTGGCAAGGTCATTGATTGCCGCGTCTCGAACACGGGCATAGGGCTCCGTATCCAGCTCATAGGTCAAACGCGTGACCTTCCATTCCTATAGGAATTATGAAAAGTAAGCGGCCCATTTTGTTAAGGGGCGCGTGTGTAGCGCGTGTGTAGCTTGTGTGTAGCTTGTGCGATGGCAAGTACAAGGCATCAGCCTCAGTACCTTGAATTTCTTTGGGAGCTGCTCCTCTGGTTTGCCTCGTAGCACGTAGAGGCGTGAGCCAAGCCCCCGCAATTGCTCATCCAGGTCTTTGAGCGACTGTGGCACCAGAGGCAGCAAGGGCGTTAAGGGGGCCCAGCGCAATGTGTGAGCGAATAGGACAGCTCTCCATGAAGCACTGGGCTCAGGCTCGAACATACCTCGAGAAGGAAGTTGTAGCGTAGCACGCCCACATTCTCGGGCTTGGCAAAGTGCGGATCAATCACGAAGACCGGGTACACCTAGGTGCACATGTATTGAAGAACAAGTTGTCCATTGAGTCCTGTTTTGAGCAGCAACCTCAGAGGGCATCTAGGACAGACAACAGCGCCATACCTGGGTGGCCCCGCGCAGTGCACGCCACAGGGCTGGATTGTCATGCAGGCGCTGGCCTTTCCGAAACCAGTGCAACGAGATGCTTGAGGAGCTCATGTTGGCAATTGGGCTGCTGACGCTTCACCTTGACCGAGAGAAAAAATGCCACTCAGCACACCCTGCAGCTTCTTCGCCTTGGCTCTTGACCTGTCGGTTCTTCGGCTCCAGCCCCACCCCAGCCCTTCCTCACCCGGATCGGAGCCCACAGCCACAGCCACAGCCACAGTCCACAGTCCACACCCCAGTGAGAGAGCGAAAAATCAAAAGTTGCAGCCCGAAATGATCATCTGCATGCTGACAATTCGCCAACCACAAGTTTTGCTTGTAACGCTGCTTCTTCTTTAAAATTAAGCTTGTGCCTTGAATGTGCTTTCTCTCTCAAACGGTAACAGTCACAACATACATCTCTGAATACACATCTAGTTTTGCTTTATCCCAAGTTTTAAGCCGATTCCTCTCTCTGCATGACTAGCCATCAGCGGCTACATCTCTTCATGGCGGTTCTTCATTTTGAAATCCTCAAAGAGAGGAGAGAGAGAGATGTGATCAGATCGACGAACGACCAGCCTCATGACTGCAGGAGGGGCACTGAGTCTGGCTGTGCTGGTGGGCGCGCTGGCGTGGTATGGGCTGGAGCAAGATGTTCTAGTCTATGCCGGTCTGAGCCTGGTCTCTGGTGCTCTCTTGACCATTGGTTTGCGACACCTGGGTGGTACAAGGTGGGTATGAAGGAGGGCAGCTTTGGGTCCAGCAGACTGTTCGACACACGCGATTGTTGCGCCGGCAAGTGTTCATTGGACGGGTTGTTGTTGCCATGGGTTCCTTTTTAGCCTGGCCGAAACACTAGTAGTGGCGTTGGTGGCACGCATCACCCATACCTGGCGATCCACAGACACTGCGCGTCGACCCATTCTGGTGCATGATCTGGAGCGCTCGGCAACCTGGCGGGCCATTGAGCGGGTAAGCGCTGTCTTCTTCCTGCGACTTGATGGTCGAGGTCGGATATGTTGAAACAGCGGGCTGCCTGTGGCGCCTTCCCTTGCTTTTGGGACGCCTGTGTTTGAGCACGAATCAACTGATCCCCCGCCCGCACCCGAACGCTAGCTACTGCCCCTGATTGAACGCGATTTTGTGCGCGTGTGGTATGATACAAGCTTTGACGAGCACGGTGAATTTCCACACGAGGCCATCTTGTCCGTGCGCCAACTTTTGCGTCGGGTATGCTCTTGGTGCAACAGGGCGAATGTTTGGCTTTGCCCTGCCGACGCACGATGCTCAATACTTTTATCCCCTGTTTTGGTGCACAGCTCGTCATCCGCTTTTTTGAGCGCGACCGAGCCTCTCTGATTGAGCGCGTGGTAAACATTTTGGGCCAGCACATTGAGCGCTTTATCAAAGCGAAAGAAGCCACGCATGGTTAGCCAACGTGTGCCACGCTAGCTGCAAGCCACGTAGAAAAGTTGCTTTTTCTTCCTTTTTTCTAATCGCTGCGCGTGTGGGGTGCGCATCTGTTTTGTTCGCATGCGTGCAGGGGGTGACAGCAGTGTCGCGCGATTGGTTGAGCTGTTCGAAGACCCCAGGTTCAGCCCAGAGACAATTGGAGTGCTTCATCCTGCAGTGTCCACTCGTGACATTGGTGCTCGTCGTGACCACTTTGCCCAGGTTTGATTAGTTTTCAGCTGCAAATGACTAAGCAGGCACGAGTCCTTGGACAAGAGGGTTGTCGATCGATCTTGTTCGCCGCAGATTCAAGCATAATGGTGTGTTTGCTGATCGTACAGGTCTTCAAGCCGGTGCTACATGATCTTCGCTATGAAGCAGAGCTCGAGGACAAGGACGTGCTCACCCATGTCTTGGCCATTGTAGCCTCCACTTGCGTATGTCGAAGAAACAGAGGATCCCCCCACCCCCCGTTCGTTCATCTACTCCCTCCTACGCACCCGACCCAGCCTGGTTCAGCAGGAACAGAGACAGGCGAAATTGTACCTCCGAGCCACGGGTCAATCCAAATGGTCTTGCCTCTTTTTGCTCATGTCGATGATGTTTCAGATTGTCCTGCCCACTATTGACGCCTTCATTGATCCGGCCTGGACCATTGCCTACTGTGTCACGCTCTTGGATGCTGCGGGTGGTGGCCCAGCGACGCCCTCGCCCCCAGGGTCCGCGGCTCACGCCACAGCGAAGATGCGCAACGTCGACCAGCCTGTGCGCTTGGACGATGAGGATCTTGAGTCAGACGCACAATCAGACGCCTCTTCAACCAGCGACTTGGACTTTGAGGAAGCCTCTTTGCGTTCAGGGGAGAGCTTTGCCTCTGCCTTGTCTGGAATGCCCCAGACCAACTCCAATCAAGCCCATCACTTTTGCGTTGCTGTGGAAAGCTATGAGCGCCTCGAAGTAGGTGCTTGTTGCGTTCATTTCAGTTTTTCCCACCGCCATGTGGCTTGCGTCACCTTGTGCGTTCACACCCCATGCACCGGGGCGCGTAGACACACGTGGAATACATTGTCGATGTTTGGTTGGACAAGACCAATGATCGGAAAAACGCTGCCGTGCTCACGCCTTCTGAAGATGAAAAATGGCAGCTTCGACGACGGTGACGTTCTTGCTGGTCCAATGTCAATTTCGAGTCTCCCATTAGCCAATGTCCAATAGTATCATCTGATATCTGCCACACTTGCATGCTGCCCTTTAGGTTCCGAGACTTTGCTAACCTATTGTCCCAGCTGCGTCGAGCTCACCCCAAGGAGACCAAGCACCTGATGCTCAAGCAACGCTACTTGTCTAGCATAAGCGGCAGGCGCCAGTCAGTTTTTCTCGACATGTCTTGTACTTCTTTCTTTGTCAGCCGAGTGAAACTGAATGACGGGTAGCTTTGTTTGTCTCTCATCTTGGTTGGCATGCACTGACTGATTTGGCTGATGCAGCAGCGACGAGTACCTTGAGGAACGTCGAATTGCACTTGATGCTTTTTTGCAGGTGCTTGATTGAAGGCCACCCGTTTTTCCAATTTTTTTTTTTCCTCTCCTTATCTTCACCGTCGACGATTTCTGCGTTACTTGTGCCATCTGTTCTCAAAACCGTTGTTGCGCGATCATGTGCAGGCCGTTATCAATTGTGGGTTGGGTGACTCGCCGTTGCTGTGTGACTTTTTAAACGCCGACAGCCATACCTATTCCGACGGTAGGTCTACTGCGCAAGTCGCCCGGCCCCGACGCAGGCAGCTTGCAAGTGACCTTTTGTTATCCCAACGCCTGCAGCTCAGCGTCTGCGTAAGCGCTCGATCATGCGCAGTGCGGCCTCCATGGGGTTTCAACAAGTGAGTCGATGAGCGTATTTCGCATCTGGCCACTGCTTTGATGCCTTTGACTCGAGCTCAAATTGGGTGCATGGTGATGCTCAGATCAGCTCCTTTACGCAACGAGCAGCAAAACTAGTTTTGGGAGCAACGATCAATCGACGGTCTCATCCTCAGCGCTCTGGTAAGCAATGTTTTGGATGAGCTGCCTCCTTCTTTGTGTGCTGCCCCGCTCAGGCGAGCTGCTTCCAGATCGCACTGCAAAGCAGTTTGTGGCCCGATCCACCGTGGAAACTGAAGCGGCAGCCGTATTTCAGCCATACATTCAACAACAGGTTCGTGCTTCGGTCAACCTCCATGTGCGATCTTGCTGCCAACCCGGCAAGATTTCGGCACGCAGACAAAGGGCAGATTGAAAGGCCTGTTTTTCCTTTTCCTTCCCCCCCCCCCTTTTTTTTTTGTTCTTTTCAAGTGCGTTGCTTCTCTACTCGTTTATTTTCCAGACTAGTCAATCAAGCCACGCCGAGTCAACAATTCATGAAATACATCTTGTGCCGTGGCGGGCGCCCCGCCTCGCACATTGCTTGCGGCGCCTAGCTGCCGAGGTTTGGGACGATATTGTCTCCGTACTTGAAACAGTATATGCACATGGCTTTGAATAATCGTTGTTATGGGGCTTGCGTCTAGGCCTTTCACGTGCGTTCGAACCGGCTTTTCGTTTTCAATGCACCTTGCTCTGGGGCAATCAATGCGTATGTATTCGCACGTTCATATTGCATGTTAGCCATGTCTGACTCCATGTGATTCACACGAGCCGCAATGCCTTGTACGCAGCTATCTAGACGCTCTCTTGCAGCGCTTGAGCTCAGACGCGTTGTTGGCCAGTCAAGTGCGAGCCCTGGAAGAATCGCTGTGGCCAGGAGGGACTTGGTTTCAAAAGTAAGACTGTGTTTTTTGCTTCTGGTGGTATCCGCTCACTTGTGAGGCTAGGTTCTCAACTCTGTATATCGCTTGCTGCGTCTTCTGACTTCTCTTTAAAGCTTGCCCATTCCCGAGCCCCCGCTGGAGTCACTCAAAGCACAACGCAAGACTGCTGTCAATCTTGTGCTCAGCATGTGTCCGGCCTGGATTTTGGTCATGCTGGGCCACGGCGGACGCGATTCAGTCATGCTCGTGCTTGAGTCGATCAGCACAGATAGTGTCATTACGCAGCACCTCTTCTCGCGTCTAATGGATGAGTTGCTGGTGTGGTTGCTTTAGGAAGCATTCATTCTATTGGGTGAACCCAGCAGAGCAGATGTAAAGCTTCTTGCTGCAACAACGAGTTGATTCAGAAGAGAAGAGAAGCAAAGATAATATAGAAGAGCAAGGCAAAGGAGGTTGAGAAATCCAATCAATAAATCATGTCAATTGATCCTTGCCACCCGAGCCCGCGCAGGGATACACCATTCGCTTTTTGCGAATTTTTGTTGTTTCAAACACGTGAAACTCTGTATTGTTTTCACTGTCACCAAGGTTGTCCATGGGGTCGTTTGACCTCGAGTTTGGGTACAAAGCCGAGAAAGGAATTGTTGGACTGTTGGTTCACGCTCTGATAGACTGCGCTCATGCCAGGCCTAGGAACTGCGAGTCCCGGCGAACATCTTCTCGAGTTGCCTCGGCGTTGGGCACAAAATCTGTGATACGCTGTGGCCAGCCAGCTGGTGGTTGGCTGGCCGCCAAAAGTCGAAGCAAGTTGTCCAAATCATCGGTGGGAGGTCCATATTGCTTTCTGTTGATGAGCCAGCGACCGCCAGCATCACGCATCACGAGGTGGTGCGTCGGTTTGCCTCGGAAGGTCAGTGACATGACAATGTCCTCAGAATCTGGGCTTCGTTGCCGCAACAAAAATTGTCCATCTATCTTGCGAAGCTCAAGGGCTTCATCCGCCTCGACTTTGCTGATGGCACCGTGGAGCCAGGCTATGATATGCAAGCCAAATAGGAGTGAGGTCAGACTTTCGGTGCGGTAGGTTGTTTGAGTTGAGGAGCTTCAAACAAAACAACAACTCAACGGCGACAACGACAACAAAAGGTAGAACAAGAGCAGCAACAGCGGCATCAGCCGCGTCCACAGCATTGTATAAAAATGGCTCATGATTCGCAAATTCTTGAGGCTACATACTGCGCGTGGGTTTGCCGCTGTCAGGGGGTGGTGAATCGGCCGTTTCGGTGACGACAGGCAGCGCGGAAGCACGCTGAGTGGCCGGGTTTCGGGTCGGTGGCTGGGCTGCTGCAGACGCGGTGTGATTCTCTGCCACAGGGAGCTCGTCCTCATCCAATGGCGCGTCTGGGACCAGGGACATGCGGCGCGATAGACCCATGACGGCGGGCGAATAGGCAGAGCCTGTGGGTGTGGGGCGGTTGGACGTGCGGCGTGGCAGTGTGTCTTGACCATCTGTGTTGATGGAGGCACGGGGTGCATCGTCGGGTGGGGGCAGCTCGCTCACGAACAGGCTTTCCAAGAGCTCTGAAGGGGAGCGCGAGGCTGTGTGACCGTGGCGGGCGTGGGCTTGATCCATTTCCCGATGAATAACCGCAAAGCTGCCGTGCACCTTTGAAAGGGCTTGGTAGTCACTGTGGGTGCTGGCCGTAGCCTCAAGTACTCCTCCAATGAGTGTCATGTAAACTTTAGCCTGGTTGCCCACAGACTGCAAGGCTTCTGCCAGGTCCAAGTTGAGCTTTTTCTCATAGGCGCTCACAGCACGGGCACCGGGGCCACCTTTCTCGCGAAGTGCTTTGACAGCCGCAAGTGCATTGTGTAGACCCCTGGCGAATGTCTGCAGTGGTGAGCTCAGCAAGTCGCTGACGCGCTGCAAGGCAGCTCCGATGGTGCCCTTGGCACCTTGCTCGCGCCGCACAAGATCTTGCAGAATTTTGAGGCTGTTGGCAGCAGCATCGCACAGCTCGTTGGTGTTCAGAAAGATGCTGTCCGTCTGCAGGGGGCCCAAGTCACCCTGAATCGCCATGCGCATGGCCTGCATTGCTTGCAAGAGTCGAGTCGCTAGCGCATGGCTGTCTGCTAGTTGATTCATGGCTCGCGCTCGTGCCTCATTGCGAGCCTCAGCGTTGGCACCATGCGTCAGCACCGCCACTGGCGGTCGTGGGATAGACGACACGCGCTCACGGGAGATGAGCGCTGGCTCAAGCAAGGTTGCGCCGTAGCGACTGGCCTTGAGCGCGCGATCGACCTCAAAGACGCCGGGAGTTGAACGAAAGCTGCCCTGAAACGGGCCATACTCCACGTCTTTGGAGAACACGTGCCACACCTTGGTTGTGTCCCCTGGATGCGGTTTGTCATCGACCACAAAGGCAAATGGGGCTGGGCTACCTGCCGAATCTGAGATGACCCAGGCAGACTTTTGAGCCACCCAGTACAAAGCCAAAGCTTCTTTTGAGTGATAAAAGACCGGACGACCGCAGTACGTATACTGAGACCACTGGTAGGTCCCGTTGATCTGAAGGAGCAGGGCGCGTCAAGGGTTCGACACATGTTAAGAAGAAAAACAACAAAGATCGTTAAAATTGTGACTTGAAAAGGAGTCGCTTGCAATGCATGTGCTCTGATTCGTGTCTGTGAGTGTACCATACACACCTTGGAATTGGCCAAGGTAGCGAGGCGACCGCCAATCTGCACGTCATCCTCGCCTTTTGCACCCCGCGGTGGCTCCAGCACATCAAAAGCTACCACCTCATAGGTGGTGAGACCCACATTGGGATCGAGCAACCAGAACCAGCGTCGCACCGCGTGCTGAGTTGAAGCCAACTGGTGGAGGGGCAGCACAAAACAGCCAGCGCACAACGAGCCTGGGCGTAGTGATCGCAATCGCGTGAGTCAGGATGGCCGCCACTCTTGAGCACGATTTCCAGCACACCCCCAACAGTGTGTGGCTGCGCGCATCACACAACACAGCTCACGCGTTCTCACACCTATGGGACCATCTCTGACGAGGACTTACCACTTGATGACATAGGTTCGGAGGATACGAGAGCAACGGCCACCTGAAATTCAATCTCGTGGCCGTGCAGCTTCTCCAGTTGCCATTGAAACACCTAACAATGAGGCACACATTGGATGCAGCAGATCAGTCAAATTGTTGAGGGCAGCAATGCATAAGCGGACAACGAGGACTCGCTGATGTTGGAAGGGCGCGGCGGGGGAGCATGACCATGCACCTCATTGAAAATGGGGCAACAGGTGCCGGCGTGGATCTTGCTAGATTTTTTGAAAGGGGAGTCGCGTGGTGGGCGTAGGGGTTTGAACAGCGTATGCACCAAAACTGCGGGCTCAGCGCGGGGCACCAGATGCACGCGAAGCTGAAACTTGAGGCTTGGATCAACAACCCCATTGAACAGGTCTCGGGCGCGATGAGCTTGGATAGTTAAAACGCCGTCTTTGGTAGCCATTTCAAGCTCGACGCGCCCAAATGGATGGCTCTGTCGCCCCAGCGTTTTGAAGCGGGTGGACATGCTGATGATCTGGCACCGCGGCTACCAATCGAATCAGCTCGCACGACCGGGGTTGGGAGGGGGGGTGGGAGGGGGGGGGGTAACACCAAGCAGCAGATGCTGAATGAACACAGACAAACAATAGCGCAGACAAAGTCCTGCAGCACCCCCGATGTGATGGATTGAGGAGGCACTCGACACTCAGTTGAAAAGGGAGAGGAGGGGGCGGGAGCGTTGTCGTGAAAAGTGTGAAAATTCTAAAAATAGACATCTACAGAACATTGGATGGCCAATTGTGCAGAAGAGAAAGCGTGCCTGACGAGCACATCATCGCGCCTTTTTGTGTTTGCGCTCGGGCATGAGGCAGTGTATGCGTGATGAACCAGGTCTGCGTGGAGTGGTTGGTTGTATACCAGATCTTCCCTATTGATGCAATTATTGAGTTAAAAATATTAAATAAGATGATGGCGTTTGCTGTCAACCTCCAAGAGTCGATATCATCACTGCAACTTGGAGAAGAAAGCTTGCATGGCTGGCAGATCCACAGCAGCTGCGGGTGTATTGCGTCGAGCCATTTCAGGGGTGGTTGCAGCTGAGGGGGCTGCAGAGTTTGAAGGGATGCTCAGATCCTGCATCGAGCTTGGGGCGTCTATGCTAGTGTCTTGCGTAGCCTCATGGTTGTCGTCGAGCAATAATGCCACCGCCTTTTGATCAAGAGCCTCGGTCGCCGTCTTGGGGGCTGAGGGAGAGAGCAAAGGAACCTTCGGCTCCACATCAAGGCTTTGCTGCAAAGCAGATCTGGTTTGTGCATTCAAGAGTCCTGGTGTCTGCATCTCGCTTTGCTCGCGTGCTTCATCGCGTTCTTGCTGCAGGGCTTTGTTAATTCCCATGAGTTCATTAATCTCAGTTAGATACGCCTCTTTGTCGTGTCGAGCCTGTGCGAGCTGTTGTCATCGAGAGGAAAGGGAAATGGCATAACGTCAGAGGATGAGTCAGCAACATGTGGATCTGTAATGACCAGGGGATGCATGCTTACTTGAGCTTCGACTTGAGAGCGAACCGTGATTTCATGTTGCATCTCGGCTTGCAATCGGCTGCACTGGCGATTTGCGGTCTAATGTGGGGCCCAAAGTCATTGAGCTTCGTAACCATCATGCATGGAGGGTGCGCAAACAAGTGCAAGCAGTCCAGGCCAGGTGCCGAAAAGGTCTTAAAAAAAAAGAAAAAAGAGAACAATTTTCAATCACCAGCCGACGCACGTTGAGCTGCTTTTGTAGTTGATCAACAACGGCCCGTGTTTCGTGATCACGGATGGCCGCAACGGCCTGCTCATCCAAAAGGCCTGCAACGTCATTGCTACCATCTTGTTCCTGAATGTAGCCTTGGAGCTCGTCGTGCAACTCTCTGCGGATGACAATGAGATCGTTGATTTCCTCAACAAGGTCCTTCTTCTCACATTGTGCTTGCTCCAACTCTTCTCCAAGCTGACTGCGCTCTTGCCGCCAGCTCTCTTCGGCAGCATGCCAACTTTCAACCTCTGCTTGGAGCCGTTTCACCTTTCAGAGTGCATGGGTGCAGGTGAATAGTCGGTGGAGAAGAAAACGAAATGGTGCGAAATAGAGAGCGGCAGAGTGAGCGGGTGGCTCGTACCTCAAGATCCTGCTTCTCTTGAAGACCCTCGAGCTCAGTGCATCGAGCCTGGGCCGTTCTTGCCTCATCTTGAGCACGCGACAGATCAGCGTGAAGCTCCACAAGGGCTTCGCTGTGCTTGTCGCGAGCTTCATTAAGCTGCGACGTCAGGTTCTCGATAAAACTCATCAAGGGTTGTGATTCGGCCTGAGCTTTTTTCAAAGCCACAGCCGACTCCTTGGCACGCTGCAATTCAGGCCGAGTCAGCAGACGCATACGGCCAAAGATATATCGTTAGCAATAGCAATGAGGTGCGACACACGTCCGCACGCCCTCCTACGCAGTCACCACATGGCACCAAGTTCAACCCACCAGCTCAAGGTCCTCGATGCGTGCTTGAGCCTTCACCAGAGCTTCACTCTTTTCGGCCAGCTGCGCGAAGAGGGGTGCAATGACAGTTAATCAGCTGAAAGCGTGCGGTGACGAAGAAGCTGCGAGACAGCAATGTACCTCCTCTTGCACAAGATCGAGATTGGCTTGTGCCAGGTTGCTGCTGGCAAATAAGCCAGTTTCTGGGCCCGCGGAATCTTGCTCATGCCGTCGTTGGTCTCGCAGCTCAGTTTGAATTGCCAACAAGTCGTTAATTTCATCTTGTTGCTCTTTTACCGTGTCGCGCAGCTCTTCCAATTCTTGCTCTTTGCTTGTTAATTTGTTGCGCAAGGTTTCCTCATCGCGCGTCAATCTAGTCTCTCGAAGCCCAGCAGCCTATGCGAGGAATACGGCCGGGCAAGGTTGCAGGAGATGGCATACCGTGAGATCTTGGAATTGGTTGCATGCACGTCAAGCATCGAATGCAAACCTTGAGTTGAGATTGCAAATCTTGCAGAGTGTCCCGTAGTTCTTGAACGTCGACGTCCTGGGAGGTTCCCAGCAGACCCCCAACGTCATCATCGGCTGGTACTCTATCATGAAATGCACGCAGCTCCTCGTTGAGATCCCGACGAATCATCAGCAGCTCGTTCACCTCATCCATGAGGTTACTATTTTCCCTTTGGGCTTCTTCAACTTCCTCTTTGTAAAAGTTGAGCTGACGCTTGACTTCATCCAATTCGCTAGAGTCAAGTTGTTGCCGTTGCATGGCGGCCATGTCCTCCTTGGCGTCTTCAAGACGTCGCTGAGCTTCGCGAAGCTCACCCTGTGCCAACTCCCGCTCAGTTGCTCGCTCATGTTCTTGTTCCGCTTGTTTGTTCAAGAGGGCTCGGTTGTCTGCGTTCAACTCGGTCACAAAGCCCATGAGTGCGTCCACCTCCTGGCGAAGTTCCTGAGTGGTCCTCTCCATTTCTTCGACCTCCTTTGCATGTGCCTGGGACGCTGCTTTCAATTCAGCCGCCGTGTCCTCTCGCTCCGCCTGTGCTGAGGCGAGGGAAGCACGCGTGGTCTGTAGGTCCACTTGCAAGCTCTGGACCTCACGCTGGCTCGTTTCAAGCTCCTTGCGCAAGCTGCTGAGCTGTGCCTGAGAAATCTGCACTTGCTGCCGCAGGCCATCAAGCTGATTGTTTGCCTGCAAATTCAAGGCACGAGACAGCGGTTGCAGCGATAGCCGTTCCATTGAGGCATGGGTTTCGCACAAAAGTGACAAGCGACAAAAAAAAAAGCACGAGACCCCCCCCACAAACACGCACACACGCACACACTCCCCCCAAAAAATTCGCACAACTCTTTCATGACATCAGTCTAAACATGGGAGTGAGCGGTTTCAAAATTGGTTCTAAACGCCAGTAACAACGTACATTGTCACGCTGAGCAGTCATATCGTCAAGATCACGGCTCAGCGACGCTTCTTTCTGAGAAGCATCGTCGAGCTCAACTGCCAGCTCACTCAGCTCATCGGTCATCCCTTCGAGCTCGTTGTCCTTGCTCATCACAGCGGCTTTGAGGTTCCGAATCTCATCTTGATATTTGGCGGTTTGATCGCGAAGCGTTGACACTTCACGTCGTAGACTCTCAATGTCTGCCTGAAGCTGACTTTTGCTGAGATTGCTTAGTTGGAGCTCCTCTCGCGTTTCAGCTAGCTGCTGCTGAGCGGTGCTGCTGGCAGCTTGGGCCTGCTCTGTGGTAGCGGTTGCTGCATCGAGTTCAGCCCGCAGACGCGTCAATTCGGCCTTGTGCTCAGCACCCAGAGATGCAAGTTGCTGAGACAGTTCTTCTGCTCGCTCCGTCTCCTCTTCGTACAACTCTTGCACACACTCCAGCTCTCCTTGCAGGTCACTCACTCGAGCGGCGTCGTCCGTTAACGCGGTCGCCCGACTCGTGGCTGCCAGCAGGTCTGACTCAAGCTGGGCAATCTTGGCCGCATGCACAGCTGCCTGTCGCTGCAACTCAGCCTTCACCTCGGCTTCACGGGCAGATGCGGTCACAGCAGCTTCCTCCCGGCGTGAAAGCTGGTGCTCGAGCTCTGTTGAGGCTGCTTGCAAGGTTTGCTCGCGAGCTAGCCCCTCTTGTATCTTGGTGTGAGCAGTCGCTAATTCGGCCTTGAGACTATGAAGGCTATTCGTGAGGTGCTTTGCGTCTTCATGAGCACGTCGCAGCTGAGTTTCGAGGCCGTTGCGATCTGCTTGCAGCTCTTGACATTGTTGCTGGAGCTGCTGCTCACGGTCTTCAGCGTTGGCCAGTTGGGTGCGTGTGGCGTGCACAGCGGCCTCAAGTCCGGAAATACGCTCCTGGTGCTCTTTGACCGTGGCTAGGGCTGCTTCGCCAGCCTGCTGAGCTTGCACCAAGTTGGCTTGCAGTCGGGAGGTGGTCTCTTGTAGTCCAGACCGCTCGGCAGCCAATGCATCACGATCACCTGTCTCAACCATGCGTCGTTGGTCAAGAGAAGCCAGTTGCTCGGTCAACGCGTCAACCTGGGCAGTTATGTCAACGTTGGCCTGCCGAAGTTGATCAGTGCGTTTGTTCGCTTCTTCTAGCCGCGCGGTCGTCTCAACCAGTTGCTCCCGCAGCGATTCCTCTTGTCGCTGAAGACGTCGTTCTCGTTCGGCGTGCGCTGTGATTGAGGTACGGGCAGACGCCAGTTCTCCAGTACAAGTCGCTACATCCTCCTCCAGGCGTTGCTGAGCGACCCGCAGGCTGGCGATCTCACTTTGCAGTTCGGCGACCTCTGCGTGTGCGTCCTGAGCTTCCTGCTGAGCCAGTCCAAGAGCATCACGCTGGGCTTGCTGGAGACGAACATGTTCCTCGCGTGCTTTGAGCAAGTCCTGATTTGTATTTGTCTGAGCTGAGCGGGCCGCAGTCAGCTGTGCTTCCATCTCGGCACGAGCTTGTTGCATCTCCTGCAGTTGCAGTTGCCATTGTGCTTTTTCTGCAATCAACTGGCTCTCTGCCTGGCGCAGTGCATCTTGAGCTTCGGCTTGCTTCGTGCGGGCAAGCGCAAGCTCATCTTTGAGCAATGAGTGAGCAGCAGCATGAGCAGCGGCGGCAGATTCAAGTTGAGCTATTTGCAACTGAGCGTCCTGTAAGGCCTTTTGCAGCTCTGTGGACTGGGTAGCAAACGTGGCAGCCTCAGACTGTTTCGCAAGCTCCGTTTCTTTGACTGACTCTGAGAGAGCGTCTAAACGGGTTTGTAACTCTTGTGCACGCACAGTGCGTTGGCCAAGTTCCTGTTCCAAGCTGGATAGCTCTTGCGCATGGGCTTGGCGCACCTCGGCAAGGGTTGCTTCAGCCTGCTGTTGCTGTTCGGCTGTTTCAGTGTGCAAAGCTTCAATTTGCTTTTTGAGCTTTTGCACCTCCGCTTTGCCACGTTCCAGCTGACGACCAGATTTGGCGCCTTCGCGCTGAGCGGTGGCCAGGGCCTTGTTGGCAGCGGTCAGCTGTTCTTGTACTTGCTTACGCTGGGCTAAGACATCAGCATGCTGGAGTGGTAGGGCACAGAGACCCGCATTCCATGAGTTTTTAGCCTATGGGGGTCGCAAACAAGCCCGCGCTCGAAGGGTACATGCCGAGGGCTAAATGCACAAACCTTGGTGGCTAGAGCATCTCGCTCAGTTGTAGCTACCACAAGGGCCTCCTGCTGGGCTTGCAGCTCACCGCGAAGAGCTTGTGCCTTTTGGTTGCTTTCTTCAAGTTCTGCGCGCAGGCCGTTGATTTCGCGGCGCGAAGCTTGTTGCTGCTCGGTCAAAGCCAGCTGCGACTTCTCAAGCTGCAACAGGCAAGCAATGAAGGCAAATGAGTTGTCAAGTCTGCTTCGTAGTCGAACAAAGGTTGATTAACAAGAATGTGAGCTCGCCATGATGTAGTTAGTTCTGGATACCTGAGCTTCAAGTTCACCGAGTCGCGTTTGGCTACCCATCTCCGCAGCCAAGGACTCTTGCGGTCTCGCATCGCCAGCAGCTAGCTTCTCATCTTCCAGGTCGCGTACGCGCTCTTGCAGACGCGAAACCTATGTCCGCAGTCATTGTTGAGCTGAAAGGGATGCGAGCGCTTTTGGTACCTGTGGCATTCTACAATTTCCGCCGAAGTACTCATTGTTCAAAAGCTAAGGACAGGCACGAGGAAAGCTGTACCTCCATTTCAAGCTCCTGGCGTTGAAGGGTAAAGCGGTCAACAAGGGTGGAACGGAGTGTGTTGCTCCGCTCGTGCAGCTCGTTGTACTCGTCCTCAAGTTGCTCCACGCGGGCCTGCAATTCGGTGACTGTCCGTGGCAGTGAGGAGAGAATGCACGATGCGTTTGCACAGAGCGAGACCGCAAGGGAGCTGGAGGGTGTGTGCGCGGTATTATTGCGATAGGATTGTTTCAGGCTGGGGTATGACTCGAGTGCGCTGCAACACCGGGATAGTGCTGACCTTCATCGGCAGCCTCCTGCTTGACTTGGGCAAGGGTGTCCTCCAGTTCATAAATCTGAGCGGCATGCTGCCCGCCATCCCGATCCGCAGAGCGAAACTCATCCAACTCGCGCTTGGCCCGGGCGGCCTCCTCTTCGGCGGCCAAACGGCGCGCTTCACTGTGCTGCAGCTGCAAATTGAGCTGAGCCTGCTCTTCTTGCATGTCCTCAACCTGGCGTTCATACTGCATCCAACGCCATTGGATACCAGGCAGAGTAAACCCCAAGGCACATGTGTGAGGGCTGCCCTCTGACCAATTTCAAAAAGGCGCCTTAACCAACAAACGGCGAAGCGGAGGCGGGCACGACGACACACGCTGCGTTTCTTGGCGGCTGATTCAGCAGCCTTGGCCTTGATGTCTGCTGCCAACTGCTCGTCAGCTTCGGCTGTGTTAAGCAGCTCCTGAACCAAGCAAGCGTAGCACGTGCATGAGGCCAAGCAGGGTTCCAGTAGCAAGGCATGGAGTGCGCGTCGAGGCGATGAGAGGCGACCTGGACTTGTATTTCGAGTGACTGGTTTTGGCTTTCGAGAATGTGGGCACGTTGACGAAACTCCTACAGATGGGTGCCACAAGCACACAAGGCGGTACACAGATCAATCGGGGTCGAAAAAGGCCCGCTGTGCCTTTGTGCAGGGGAAGGCCGATTTATGTCAGGTACGGATGGTGGGGCCGGACCATACATGCATGGACTGCTCCAGATCTTGCTTGGCTTGGGTGGCCTCTTGGAGCTGTTGGCTGTGCAGGCAAGGCCAAGTGAGGACCACGGTTGAGAGCGATGAAGTTTGCAGTTGTTTAAAGGCACGTTTGAGCGTGGCGCCAAGAGGCTCAGCTCGGATGGACGTACGATAAACCCTGGACTTGTTGGATGAGCTGGGATCCAAACTCAGCAGCTTGTCGAACGTTGTTCTCAGCAGCTTCTAGCTCCCGGCGCAAGTCTTGGGCCTCTTCTTCCAGGCGGTTGTTCTGTCCAATGGGTTGCAGTGCGGTTGTCATGGCTTGCTCCAGTATAGGACAGTGCAGTGCAGTGCGTGCGAACGAGCGGGCTCGAGTGAGTGGCAAGTACCTTTTGCAGCAGCTGCTGCGCGTCGTGGTCGTCCAGCATGCTGATAGGTCAATGCCTCTGGCCCAGTTTGACGGGCTTCTCCGCCGAGGCCTGTACCCTGCCCGGAAAGTTTAGAAAAGGGGGCCACCGCCAACGGTGCGTGCGGGCCCAGTTCAATGCGCGGCTGTGCTCATGCTGCTGTCGTGGATCCGGGGCTCAAGGGCTAGGTCGAACTTCTGCTGTACTTCCTAGCCAAGCAAACTAGTAGTCGTTGGCTATCAACGGTGATCAGATCACTCCAACCGACGCGGTGGCATGAGCACATGACCTGGGCCGAACGTCCTCACCCGAGCGAATCGACCGTTTGACAAAAAGTCCGCACCCAAGAAACACAAGTCTCGAAATCAGTGAGCATATCACATTCGACAAACCCGATCGAATTCAGTGAGCATAAATGTTATTCGCGAAGGCAGTGAGAGTCGCGCGGGGACAAGGCATGTGGTGTGGTGGCTGTTGCATGGGCATTTCTGCTCTTCTCCTTCTGTCTTCTGGTGAGTTGATGATGGTTTTGTGGCGAGGGATGCCTTGATGGCCTGCAATTCGGCACCGGCAGCGGCAGGCAGGAGAGACAGGGGAGGGGAGTAATGGATGAAAAAAATGAGACAGCTAGGTGGTGATGGTAGTGGTGGTGGGACCCCGTTTGCTTTGTCCGATGGTGCAGTCTCAATTTTTCTTCTTCTTCTTGCTCGGTTTTGCATCTTTCCTTCAGCTTCAACCCTGCGCCTTCACCTTCATCTCACCGACAACATGGGTGCTGCGGAGATTGCTGCTCAAGCGGCTGACCTTTTCAAGAATGAGTTTGTTCGGTGTGTTTCTGCTGACGGCTGATTGTCTTGAGCCATCAAGCCCCACACCTTTATTATCCGGTCGCACACTGTTTCGATGACGCTTCCCGTCTCATGGCCTTTGTGTTCTCCTCTTCTCTCAGCTCGGTGGCTGTGAGTGCGACCGTGTTCTCGGCGGCCGTCTACGTTTTCCGCAACCAGATGGACTTTCTGCTCAAGGAGTAATGCCGCAGGACCTACTGCTGAGAGTCGGCGTACACCAAACGCATGGGCAGATTTTTAGCAAAGATTATCCACGACCAACATGCCGTTGATGACCCGCCCTGGACGTCCCGTCTGCTCCTTGATCCGTGATTAAGGTCTGGCCCGCCATGCTCGCGCGGCTGGGCGCATGCCACAAGGATGGGGCGCCTTCTATATTCGAAGGAGATGGCTTGCCGACCCCTTGACCATTGTAGAGCCAGCTCTTTTCGGCCCCGAGGGTTGCTTCAGAGCGCTTTGTAGTTGGCTTTGTGGTTGTCATCTGCTGCTGTGGTGTCATGTCTTGATCTTCTTCGTCTTGCCGCGCGGAATTCATATCATGCCAGCTTTTCCTTCCCTCTGAAGCCTGCCGACCCTTTGCGGGTGTCTCATGTCTCTCTGCACCACCCGCTCGGCCCAATCCCGCCTAAAGTCGTCCATCCCTCCATAACGCCCTTTGTGTGGAAACCGCCCTCCAAAAAAACAGAGAGAGAGAGAGAGAGAGAGAGAGAGAAAATGAATTGGTTTGAGAGAGAGAGAGAGAGAGAGAGAGAGAGAGAGAGAGAGAGAGAGAGAGAGAGAGAGAGAGAGAGAGAGAGAGAGCAGCGAATCTGAGAACATTTTTGAACGTTACTGTATCTTGTTGTTGTTTGGGTGCTAGCTCAACTCCAACGAAATGGCAGTCATGAAGGTTGTGGCCCAATTGGGGCTGCTGGTCGCGATGCTGTCTGGCGTTGTGGCCTTTGATCGCAATGAGGTTGATCTGAGCTATCGCCCGGCCACGACGCATGTGGTCTCACCCCTGCCCATTGAGTACACGGACGTGGCTTCGCTGCCAAGTTCTTATGACTGGTGCAACATGAACGGCACCAACTACTGCTCGTAAGCCCCGCCGCCCCATCGAGCCAGGCGACAAGCGCCCGCTGTGGATCGCGCCAATCTGCCGCCTGAGTTTTTTTTTATTTCTTTTATCCAGAGCTTTGCTCATCATTGTGTCTGCTTTGTTTTCGTGCTCTTTGCTGCTCGTCGTCTTTGAACACCCATCTCCAAGGACGACCCGCAATCAGCACATCCCGGTTCGTGCTTCCCCCGCCGTGTCCCCGGGTGATGGCCTTTTGTGTTGGCAGCCAACGGCGAGCTCACGCAGTTGCTGTGGCAATGCTTTAACAGACTTACTGCGGTAGCTGCTGGGCGCACGGCGCGACCTCGGCCATGGCGGATCGCATGAACATCATGCGCAAAGCCCAGTGGCCCTCGGCTTACTTGTCTGTGCAGCACGTGATTGCTTGTGGTGATGCTGGTAGCTGCGAAGGTGGCGATCATCTGGCAGTGTGGAAGTACGCCAAGGAGTTTGGCATTCCCGATGAAACCTGCAACAACTATCAGGCCAAGGACATGTCTTGCACCGACTTCAACGCCTGCGGCACTTGCCAGCCCGGCAACGTCTGTGCACCCATCAAGAACTACACTGACTACAAGGTCTCCGAATACGGTTCCGTGCATGGTCGCGACGCCATGATGGCCGAAATTTACCACCGCGGTCCCATTTCGTGTGGCATTGCCGCCGACACCAAGCTGGACGACTACACCGGCGGAATCTTCGCCGAGTACGTGCCCAACGCTTCGATCAACCATATCATCTCCATCGTCGGCTGGGGCCTCGATGCCGCCTCGGGTGTTGAGTACTGGGTTGTTCGCAACTCGTGGGGCCAACCCTGGGGCGAACAGGGCTTTTTCCGCATCGTCACCTCCAAGTACATGAACGGTACCGGCAACGACTACAACCTTGCGATCGAGCAAGACTGCGCTTGGGGCGTGCCCGACATCTAAGCGTTGTCCTTGTGAAGATTGGCATCAAGCCGATAACATGGTGCATGTGTCACTTTGCACCATGGTAATATGACATCCTGCTTACTTTTTGCGGGACATGGTCAGGCCAGCTAGCTACACCGCGATAAATTGAGTTTTGGAATGTGGAATCGATAATATATATCATATATTATATTATGATGTCTTTCTCACTTAAAGTTCGATTGTAAATGCTGCGGGCATGCTCAGCACACCGCTTGGCAGCCATATTATTGTCATAACAAAGCGTGCCAGTCTGACGCAGACAGACGCGAGCCAAGGGAGGGGGTACGGAGGGAGCCATCACGTGTCTCAGAGTCGGGCTTGTCTCTTTCGCTCGGACGAAATTATCGAGGTTGAGAGCACAAACACCAATGGCACATCAGATGCTGCTCGTCTCAGGATCTCCTTCAGCCCGTGCGCACTCGTATTCGTGCCATTGCAAAGTCCAGTCGGCATGAGAAAGCTTTGCGGTAGCCACAGCACTGTCCTCGATATGTGAGACGACCAGCGATTTGCTCAGCTGGCTCGGGCTCTTGACGGGGGAAGAAAGGCCTGGTGTGCTGGTACTTACATTCGCCTCGGATCCTCGAGGAGACACCAACACGCGCCGGGGCGACGACGTTGTCGATTGGAGGCTAGACCGCCGCGAATTGACGGGGGACCAGGGAGGAGACACCCAAGGCGGCGAGAGCGGGCTTGTTGGTGTATCCCATCCTTCAGGGCGCAGGCGGTCGCCCACCTGTGGGCCGCGACGCCGGACCGGTCGAGTCACATGGACACGCGGCGTGGTTTGTTCCGATATGCTGCTGTGCTGGAGCCGTGAGATGTTCTCCTGACTACGAGCGAGGGTTGGGTGGGAACCGATAGACAGCCGTGGCAGGCCGCGCGGCGGGAGCACGGGTGTCAGCAGCTTGCTGGGAGCCGTTGGACGTTCGTGGTGGTGAGGATCACTTTTGTTGAGTGCGGGTACCACGTCTGATGCCTCCATCATTGAGTCAGCCTCCTCCAGCAGGCGAGGTGGTGAAGAGCTTGCCAGTGGCACGATGAGACTGTGGCGCGGTTGACGCAATAGCTCTCGCGGCGCTGCCAGATCATAGTGAGCAGCCTGAGAATCAATGGTTAAATCAACCCCGAGGCACGAGTCTGACAAGGATTGACATTGCCAGTCCAGCAGCGGCAGCAGCACGGGTCCGGCAGTCATGTTGTTCACTGCCAAAGCAAAATGCCCCAGTACCTCGTTTTCGGCGCGATCTGCACTTTGAATAGCCGATGACCGCTGACGCATGCGGCGTGTGCGGTGTGTCCGACGGCCGCCCTCGTAGCTCATGGTTGAGCCGCGCCGCTCACTTCCCCGCCGGCCCCTCCCCCCTTCTGACCAAGGGGCCTGGGCCGAGGGGCGTCGGCCCTGGCTTTGGCTTTGGTGGCGTCGTCGGTGACGATTCAGCGGGCGAAGCAACGCCATGGCAATGGATCGGCCACGACTGTGGGTTCGTGTGGCAACCCGGGAGCGGCTAGGTGTGATGGGGGCTGAGCCCTGACGGGGGGGCAAACCAGAGGGTCCCACATCCACGGGTGATTGGTCGAAGTCCGATCCAGGAACGGGTCGAGCCAGCAATTTAAAAAGCAGAACCGCATGCTGAGGGTAGCGGACGTCAAAGGTAAAGGCGTCCTGAAAGCGGTAAGTACCAACAGGTGCCATAGCCGAGGTGTAGCGGACAGGCTCAGCCTGTCCAAACTCAAACAACGCAACAGATATCTGTACGCCATGGCGATAGGTGGGCGGTGCCTGCAGGCGAACGGACCGAAGGCGGCAAGTTAACCGGAGCGGATCGCTATCTGCGACATCACTGGTTTCGCTGCTGGGTGAACCAACTGGTGCTTCGTTTTTGTCCGGGCCCGATGCAGGCCGTGATGGACCTGAGGAAGATGGCACCTCGGCTTCTGGCGTTGAGGGTATGTGTGCTGATGCTGGGACGCATCGTGATGGGAGGCAGTCTGCATCAGGTTCTTGGCTGGGGTTTGAGGGGGTGGGGACGAGGCGATTACGAGTTTGGGTGTGCCAGACATTTTTAGGGACAACCCGTTGGCAGAGCACATCGGGCTTGCGCAAATAGCCGCAGCCCCCGTTGTCAGTGCGGAATAGGCCGACCAACACCCAAACTGCCTCGTCCCATTGATGCCACTCTGCTCCAGGCATCTGAACGCCTTGCTCCAGCAGCCGCATGCAGTTGGGGTTGGCTGGTCCAAGGAGGGTTGCAGAGGGCTTGGACTGGACCACGTGGCGGTAGGCATGCTCTTGAAGGGTGGATTGGTGGTGTCGGGTGAGCTGGGCAACCTGGGGCCAGTCAAAGACCGAGGCGGCGGCATAGGTAGTGTAACGGGAAGCGAAGAGACTGTGGAACTCTGTTTGGTGGAGATAAACGAGGTCTTGGAGGGCTTGGGGAGTGCCGTCGTAGCCGCGGCGCGCGCGCATGTGATCGAGGTGGAGCAAAAGGATTTTTCGCTTGAGGCTGGCAGGGCTGGCAAATTCATGGCCCTGCTGAGCACCCGGAATGAAGAGCAAGTCGGCAAGACACTCGCGCAGGACGGCTGCCAGTATTAGCTTGCCCTGGGCACTGCAGTGGTCATCCAGGGTGAGCACGAGGGGAAAGGGCGAGGCCTGGAAGGCGAGGCGTGCGATGGTCGTTAAGCAGAGTCGGAGGGGGAGTGGCCGCTGACTATAGCCGTTGTGATAGACGAGGGGTTCAGCGTTGGCGCCAGCCAACTGACCAGACCAGCCTGGCTTGGCAGAGTGGCAGGTGAGCTCGAGGTGTCGACATCCAAGTTGGAGAGCCGCCTCGATGGTCTGCAGCCCGGTTTTGCCCTTGGCAGCCGCGGTCGCCGTGACCAGATAGGAGTTGGAAGAGGAGAGCAGATAGTAATGACTCAGTGGCCGGCTCATATCCTGATACACCTCGCGGCGTGCCGGACGGTAGGCATCAGGGCGAATACCCGATGGTGTGGTTAGCAGCGTTGGCGCCTCTACACATCCGCGACACGAGGAAGGCGCCGTGCCCATTGTTTTGGATCTTCCCGGTCGTGTTAAACAGTGTAGGGGGTTAGGAGATGCACAACTCGGAGCAAATGGATAATCTATGCCATGAGACCAAAGCTGCGCGTTGCTTTTCCTTGTGCTATGACTCTGGCACAGGGGGAGCGCGTCTGGCTCGGGGCTCGGCTCGGCCGATGCGGGCAGCCCACAAGATCAGGGCGGGAACAGGCCCATCAGCGCAGATCTGCTTGCATGTAGCAAGGGGAGGAAAGCAAGGTGCGCTTCGGGTGAGCTCTCAGCTGGTGATCAAAAGTATGGAGGATCAAAGCCGCAGTAAGACAAGAAGGCGGGTTGGGGGTGCCCCGTCGTCATTGAGGCGAGGTGCCGAGATTGGTTGTGAAGGACAGCGATCAAAATGATGACACTCGTGTGCCAACCTCAACGACGCCAAAAGTGAATTGACTGACCATTCGCTCAAGTTCCCCCCAGCCCCAATGATTCTGGATATCATTGACCACAGCAGCAGCACCGGCCTGCCTGCCACCAGATCACAAGCGTTGACCCGTCTGCACCGTCACAAAAACTGAGCGTGACGACGCCAAAGTCCAAAAAAATTTAATAAAAAATTATTCGAGCCGGAAGCGATCTGACAATAAACGCTGACAAATTACCATTGGTTGTTAAGGGTTTTAAAAAGTGCAAGCACCGTCACACTTTAAGACACATGCTGTTTTTTTTCTCCCTGGAATATGTTTTCGAGGTTTGAACCCCCGGTTCACTTTTCTCTGCATAGCCGGTGCGTGGACCCTGCTGTGGAAGGAAATCTTGGTCGCGGGCGCGAGGGTGCGCGTGACCAGACGGGCGGCGACCAGCGCCAAAGGGAGTTGCGGCGGTTGCCGGCCGCCGGCACAGATGGCGGCCGGCTGCTCCAGTATCCAACAAACAGCTGGCTACATGGGCACGGTTGGAGAAGCTGGATGCCCGTTCAACGAACTGTGAAGCTGCCTCTTTTCTGGTTCGGTTGCTGCCTTGCTCGAAGCCTCGAGCCTCAATGGTGCATCCCGCATTGTTGGCGGCTGTTCGCCTTGACCCTTTGGGGTGCCCAGGGTGCCAAGTCTGCCAACAATGCGACATGATCAGATGGAGGCAGTTGCATGCAACGTTGCTGGACATGGGTGGTCCAAAGCTTCCTTCCGTTACCGCCGTCGCCGCTGACCATCAGGGGGGATGAGCTCATGGGATGAGAAATTCAGCTCTTCGACCTCGTTCGCATCATTGACCTTTGGCCTTTGTATTTCGTTTGCATGTTGCGGCTTGTTGTGATTCGTCTTGATTGCAGGCAACATGGGTCGTGTTACCGGTGTCTCTGTGGCGCCTAAGGTCTTCTCCAAGACCGCCGTCGCTCCCCGTCGTCCCTTCGAGAAGGCTCGTCTGGACCAGGAGCTCAAGCTCGTCGGCGAGTTTGGCCTCCGTAACAAGCGTGAGGTTTGTTCATGTGCTTGCTCTCTGAACAGCCGTCTAGAAGCAAGGACTTTGGCAGCTTATTCAAAAAGGAAACCCTAGACCTCGTATACGTTGTGCTTACTCACGTCGGCTCATGCTTGTTTCTCAATGAACCTAGGTGTGGCGTGTCAAGTACACCCTCGCCAAGATCCGTAAGGCTGCTCGTGAGCTCCTTACTCTCGACGAGAAGGTTTGTTTTGCATTCCCTCAGGACCCCTCTGTGCTTTGATGATAGTTTTTAGTGAAAGTTTGTACGGCCACGCCCTCACTTTCTCACTTTATTTCCCTTTACTCCTTTTCCAAACTGGTTGCAGGACCCTCGTCGTCTTTTCGAGGGTAATGCGATCCTTCGTCGTCTCATCCGCCTCGGTGTCATTGATGAGGATCGCATGAAGCTCGATTACGTCCTCGGTCTCAAGGTTGAGGATTTCCTTGAGCGCCGCCTGCAGACCCAGGTCTTCAAGCTTGGTCTCGCCAAGTCGATCCACCACGCTCGTGTCCTGATCCGCCAGCGTCACATCCGGTATGTTACTTGTCTTTATGACGATGTAGATTGAGACGCGTTGAGGTGCTTTTTGTGGTCTTAAACTTTTTTTTCATGCATCGCCGACTTTCTTGTGTTTTGGGTCAAACCTGCTTCTTGTTGTGACGAACGATGCGTATTCCTCACGTCTGGGTGCATTTCAATGTCTTTGCTTGATTTGACAGTGTCCGCAAGCAAGTGGTCAACGTTCCCTCCTACATGGTCCGCCTGGACTCGCAGAAGCACATTGACTTTGCTCTCAAGTCTCCCTTCGGTGGTGGCCGCCCCGGCCGTGTCAAACGCCGCAACCTGCGCAACAAGGGTGGCGACGATGCCGCCGATGACGAGGAGTAAGCGCTTGGCGCCTAATTTTCGGCCCTTGTCTTTTCCTTCAAATTCACACTAAAAACACGAATTTTATAAGCCTCATCTGATTAACATGAAACAATACAACGAGCGGTCTTCGATGCCGGCCCTTTTGGCCATGAGCTTCGACCCTTTTGAGGGCCTAACGCCTTGGCACTTGCTGCAGCGGTAGCCAACATCCGGCTCATTCAGGCACACTTAACCAAGGATATCTCACCAAAAGGACAGAGAGGGAGAAGAGCGTAAAGAAGAGAGAGAGAACACAAAAATTTGCTTTTCTGACGTTTTCGATTTGACACTGGTACTGGCAGGCATGTCGGACCGTTCACCTCCCCGTCGAGGGCGGTGGGACTCACCATCCCCGCCGCCATCGCGGGAGCGTGCTGCTAGTGGGCGACGCAGCAGGTCCCCCCCGCGCCGACACCGTGACCGGTCCCCACCCCGGCACCGCGACCGATACGACGAGGACCGCGGGGACCGCAGCTCTGACCGTGACTCTCGCTCAAGTCGTGGACGGGGCCAGGATGGTCCAGGGCGAGGCCGGGGGCGAGGTCGGGGGCGGGGTCGCTATCCTCGCGAGGAAGTGGATGAGTCACAGATGCAGTATGGTCTACCTGAGCACCGGAACGAGGGAGCCAGTCGTAATGATGCAGACGCCGGGCCGCCACAGCCGAAGGAGGAGGCTAATTTCGGTACATCGGGCCTGTTGACGGAGGAAGCCAATACATTCAATGGTGTGGTTGTGCTGTACAATCAACCACCAGAGGCGCGGAAGCCAAAGGCGCGTTGGCGCTTTTACCCTTTCAAGGGTGAGGAGGCGCTTGACCCCATCTACCTTCATCGCCAATCCGCATACCTGATTGGCCGTGACAAGCGAGTACGTTTGGGCCAGAGCTATGTTCAATGCACTTGAAACCCGCTCATGCCGGCAGTCGGTTCATCATGGGGCTCAGGCCATCTGCTCACTGAATTTTGCCTTGCTAGGTCTGTGACATGCCCTTGCTACATCCCTCCATATCCAAGCAGCATGCCGGTCAGTTCTATCCCCTCGACAATGAGCCCGTGGGGTTCATTCTGCCCCATGAAGCGGCTGACTGCGCGAGTGTCGTGTTGTGGCAGACGCGTGCTGGCTTCCCTGCTCACCCTGTGGTGTATTTTATTTGCCGAGATTAGTTTTGCAGTATCGCCTGGTCTCAGAAACCGTAGAGGGGCGTCGACTCAACTTTATCAAGCCCTATCTCATTGATCTTGGCAGGTACAGTCTTGCTGCCAAGGAGCCCTAGACTCCAGCTGGCAGCCCATCCAGAGGTGTCCCCTTTCCCTACACATGCTCTTTCGCTCACCCCCTTTGTTCTTGGGTTTAGTGCCAATAAGACCTTTCTGAACGGCGAGCCAATCGAGGCACAGCGCTACTATGAACTACGGGAGAAGGATGTGATCAAGTTTGGTATGTTGTCACACAATCAAAGCTCTTTTATCTGATCTCAGCTTCCGTCTTTTGTATGGGCGCAGATGCCTCACACGTGCGGGTGCTGGATCTTGCAGGCAACAGCACACGCGAGTACGTGCTCCTAACGGAGCAGGCCGCAGACAACTAACTTTCAGGATCCGAGTCCAATCCAATACGGTGTCTCGCCTCGGAAGGTTTACAAGATCCCAAGGGGCAACCAATTTATGATGGAAATATCAAGAGACGTTCTGCCTTTCATCATGGTTTCTTTTGCGGGTCTCATCATCCTCATGACTTGCCAAAGCATTCAATTGTAACACGACGCAGCGGCCCATGGTCTTGTGCTAGACTAGACTTTTGGACATTGCAACGCAGACCTGTTTGTTCACTCAGCACCTTGAATCCTTGCGCCGCTGTTTTCTGTAACCTATTCGCATAACCACCAACGATGGGATGTTCTCCTCAGCTTCTTGCCTTTTCCCGGCAGGCACACACAGCTCGTGTCGGGTCTGGCCGGGGCCAAGTATCCTCAACGAGTAAAAAGCTTAAGCAGCGTGCAAGCGCAGCTAAGACATGGCGCTCATGTTAATGACTTCAAAGTCATCGTCAGAAAACTCCTCCTCCTCAGCAAGCGAGGAGGCGACGGCTGTGTGTTTGGCAGCGATCAGGCGAGAAACATCGGGTGAGCGACAAGGAAACAAGGAAAAAGAAGGAAGAAGTCAAAGAGAAGAAGAAGCAACATGAACGCAAAACAACAGCAAAGTCTGATGGCAAGCTAGTCGAGGCCGGTGTCGTAGCCTCACAAACCACTTGTTTGGGACAGAGCAACTGGGAGGGCAGCGTGTGCGTTCAACCGGTCCATAAAACAGGGGACGGAGATGGCACGTACCGACGCTCGAAGCAAAGCTTTTTGTGTCAAGCATGCTGAACAGGCGCACACCCGTTTCTTCCACTGAAGCATTGTAGTCGTCCGCGAAGCGCTGCAGACTCTCTTCATCGGTGAGCAAAAACGCCTGTACCATAGACCATCGTATGGGACAGTAAAGGTTAGAGAGACTGGGCGCTAAGGGTATTGAAAAATCCAAGGAAAAAAAAACGATGGTAGACCTACCAAGCACATGGTGGGATCCACCTTGTCGAGGTCAAGGAGCATCGGCCGCGAACACCTGCAGGAGACGAGGGCATCCTGGCTCCCAGCGCGTAGCGGGTCTTGTGTGGTGTGGGGGTCAAGCAAGAGCAGGTTGTGGTCTATGGGGCAAGCGTGGCGGGCGTGTCAGACGGGTTCAGACGGGTTCAGACATTCGCACGGGCTGGCTTGCTGTTGCGGATACACACCCATGTATCCGATAAAGTAGTGGGCAGCACCCGGTCGTCCACCCATGATTCCCAAGGCGCTGGGTGAATGAAAGAAGCGCTATCGTCGTGAGCCACACATTATGGTAGAAGGATGGCTCCCGGTAATGGAGGAGCGAGAGGAAAACAAAAGCCAAAAGCGCAAAGAATGAGCATCTGGGCCAGCAGGAAGCTCCAGGAGGTTTGGGAAAGGCCAAGGGGCAAGGGAACAGCGAGACGATGGCGCTTTGTACATGCCGACCTTGACAGCCGGGATCATTTCGGCTTGAACGATATCGATGCCTAGTCGCAGGGGCACAAATAGCAGTGTGGCGCGGTCGGCCCGAAAAAGCTTGCCTGATGGCAGTTGGGTGGAAGGCCTCATGGTCAGAAGGCACCGGCCCAAGACAAGACCCAAATCAGGCTATGAGGGTGACCAAGCCACACCATCACCAGGCAACTTACGTAGATCGTCCAGCACGACCATGCTATCCATGGCCACGTGAACCTGTAGACCCATGGCTTCTTGTTCATTGACAGCCAGCCTAAGCCCAGCAGGCGTGCATGCATATCAAACAGGTTTAATTGAGGCGTGGGGTTGGGAGCAGGGCCCGCGGACGGCGTCTGTCAACGGCTATTGGCGGATCGGGGGGGGGCCTACCGCAGGACATGCGCAACGTCGGTAGGGGTATGCCATTGGCCGGCGCGTTTGCCAACAAACTTGGACTGCATGGCCATGGCATGAACGGAGAGAACGCGGTCGGGCCGGTCCTCAAACTCCTTGAGGATGCTCATGCGGGCCGCTTCACTGGGATATGAAAGTTTGTCGTAATCACGCGGGCAATGGCATCGCTGCAAGGCCTCGCCGACGATCATTTGACCCACGCGCAGAGTACAGCCCCAACCGCGGTCGGTCTTGTGGCGGGGCGAGTCTGCATCAAGTCACACATTAATCAAGAGCGGAGGTGGAGGCGTCAAAGTCGTATCAAGCCGCCCAGGATCTTTCGGGTGGTGGAGGCATTAAGGCATGGCTGTATGAACGCTGGCATCATGCGGGTGAGGCTTACCGCCAATGGCATATTCCGAGTTGCGATAGGTGAACCAGAGAAAAGCAGAGGCGCGGGAGCGTATCTCGTCGCGAGAGCCTTGGTCTGTGTACTTGAATTTGAACTCACGGCCCAATATGATGACCGTGTGCTCCACCTCGTCAGCAAAGCCCTCTTCGTGTTCGAGATCCCCAACGTCATAGGTGAAGACAGCATGGGCCATATCGCAGGTGAAAGGGTGCGCTGATGAGTCATCGGCATGCGCCACCCCGAAGGCTTTGGGAGAGTGTCACGCGCTACGCCGGCACCAACACAACTGCTTGTGCTTGTGCTTGTGTGCGCGATCAAAAAGAGTCACGGCAGCGGCAGCGGCGGCGGCGTCTCAACCCTGTTTGCCACGCACGGGGCCAACGAATATGTCCTCTCGCCTCAAAGTCACCTGCACAGCAGGTCAGGTCCTGCCATGGACCGTCACCGACACCAACGACACCAGTACCGTCGACGCCAGCCAGCACCACCGCCACTCGCCCAAACTCGCTGTGACTGTTGCTACTGTTGCTGTTGCTGCTGTTGCTGTTGCTGTTGTTGCTGTTGCTGCTGTTGTTGCTGTTGTTGCTGTTGTTTATGAGAGGGGAGAGAGAAAGAAAAGAACAAAAAGAGTCAACACCATTTCAAGGCAACAACACTGTTTGTTACAAGCAGCATACGTCACATAAGAAAGAGAGAGAGAGAGAGAGAAAGAGAGAGAGGTGCCTTCGCCAATGTCAGACGTTTATGTTTTTGCCTTTCTTTCTTTTTTTTTTTAAGATCGTCAGAGCTGCCGAGCAGGGGTGTGGCGGGTGCGCGTCATGTCTCGGCCACAATATGTCAAGCTTCGGTCGCGGCTGACAAGTGACATTGTGGACCGCGATGACGATGATGATGCCGACAAGTACATTCCCGAGCAGGTTGGTTGGTGTTTGCGCTCAAAACACTTGGCCAAGTTGACCGCAACCGACCAGAGCTCAAACTTGGACGCGCGTGGCGTGTGTGTGTGTGTGGGTTTGATGTCGCATAGTTTCGGGAGCTGCCAGAGCGTACGCCGTGGCGTGCCATTGCCCTTGCCATCTTCCTGTTTGTGGTCGGGTCTATATTGCTGATCTTGGGGTGCCTCTTCTTCACGGGCCATATTCCGCCGGTCAAGGTCCGCGCTTCCGCCCTCTCGTGTACCCGCCCACCCACCACAACTCAGTGAGGAAACATGACTGCCTCACGCTCGTCTTGGCGGGGCCAATCTGTTCTTCGGGTGGGGCTGGGCGACGTGTTTATTTTTGGCATGTAGGAGGGCGACGATCGATGGCTGGCCATGATCATCATTGGGAGCTTGATGTTTATTCCAGGTGCCTTCCACACGTTTATTGCGGTGCAGGCGTACCGCCAGGTCCCAGGCTATCGACTTTCCGACATTCCGCACTACGACGATTAACCTGCACGAGGGTCTGAGTCGACTGGTGGCACTTTAGATTGCTGAGCAATCAAACGCTCAAGTCCCCTTGGCTTCGGCTCTAACATGTGAGGGTCGATCTCCGTTTGACGCGGGTGCAGGCGTACATCGGCATGACCGCCTCAAATTGATACAGAACAGACACCAACACATCACATCACATGCTTCAAGGCCAACAACTTGAGCCGGCAGCAGGCACAGAGAGAGAGAGAGAGAGAAAGAGAGAGAGAAAGAGAGAGAGAAGAAAGAGAGAGAGAGAGAGAGAGAGAGAGAGAGAGAGAGAGAGAGAGAGAGAGAGAGAGAGAGAGATGAATTGGTTTGTAGAGAGAGAAAGAGAAAAGGATTCGTTCAAACATGTTGCGACAAGTTTTAGTTATTCGGTTCGACGTGGAGTGACCTGTTCAGTTGTGTGGGTGGAATCGCGTTATTTTTCAACGCAGCATTGGCAGCGCAATTCGACCACCATCAACCCAACACCATGCTTGATACAGTGATCTTGGCAGTCTTATTGGTGACAGTGGCGCTCCTGCTTCTGGCCGCCTACTTGGGCCTCTTTCATGTACGCGATCGCTGGCACCCTCGCGTTTGCCTGCTTGCACTGCCGCCCCTGTCATCAACTCATGGTGTGGACGTAATTGTGGCGGAAACCAGCATGTGTACTTCGTGCCGGGCTATCTGCCCGCGGGCACGCTCTTTGCCTCACCGTTTACGGGTCCGTACAAGGACTGTGGATACAACTTTGAAAAGGTCGGTCCTGGTTGTCGCTTGGCCCCATGGCCGGTCGAGACTCAGTCGGGTGCTATGCTCATGATGACCAACTGGGAGGTTTATGCTAGCTGCATCAGCTCATCAAAGCAGCCGATTTGGAGCCACATGTGTTCAAGCATTTGGGTCTTTTCCATGATGCACCTGGCACACGACCCGAGGCGCAGCTCCGGTCATCAGCAGCCGTGCTTGTGGCCTCGGACGCAAGCGCTGAAATCCTCGACCGCTTTGAAGCCTTGGGCTTGGAGCGCCGCACGTGGTCCGAAGCCAAGTGCATGACCAGTTACTATCCTCTTCGCCATGCGCTGTGCATGATGCTGGGTCCTCTCCGAGTCTACCCTCAAGCTCCTACCCCAGACACGTACGTTACTTTTCTCCTCTGCTTGTGGGTTTTGAAGCATCTCTCCCGCGTCCTGGTTGCTCGTTTTCAAGTTTGTAACTCGGGAGAACTTTTTTGCTTGCGTTGACAGGAGTTTGTGCCAAGTCAATTCGGGCTCGGTCGAGATTTACGACACGACGGCTGCCTGTCGCGGCACCATCCTCTACTGTCTTCCGACCGAGTACTTTGAGCAATACCGCCCCTTTCAAAAGGACGCTTAGCGTCTTACAACTTGCCTGTGTGTCAGCCAATTCAATGTCAGCAAATTTATTGGAGAATTTGTGATGGTTTATTTTTTTATTTTTTTTCATAAGCAGCAACAAACAAGGCAAACCAAGCCATTCGTTGCCGCCCTCTGGATCGCCGGCCGAGACCCAGGGCCATGCCGGTAAGAGGGTGGATGCGGTTGTAGACTTGGCAGGGATCGTGCGGACGCAGATGTGAAGTTGCTATTGGGATGGTGCGGCGTCTTGGAAAAGTCACCAGGCGCGCTCCATGCGGCTGAGAGCGTAGAAGAAGAAAAAAGTTGTCAAGAAGAAGGCTGCCTCACGCAAAAGCTCGGGCGTGTCGGCTTCAGCTTCGGGTAAGTGGACCCTTGAGTTTGTCTAGGACACATCCAGACTCCTGACTTGGCCTCATCATGAACCACACGCTATGAAGATTGACATCTCGTGGCTCTTATTTCTGACTCTGTGCCTCGTTAGCGCTCACGGAAGATGAGCAGCTCAAGCGATCGGCGCACGAGGTGGCCTTGATGCGCTTGCAGTTGTGTACGTCATGATTTCCCGATGGAAGCAGGCCTGGAGGCGGCTGGATGTTTTATCGCTAAATACGCTGACTGTTCCATTGCCAAACCTCCTGATGTGTCTTGCAGCTGAAAAACAAGAGGAGGCGCGGCGCCATCAGAGCAAAGCCGAGGAGTTGCGTCATGAAGTCCACACGAGCCGCGCCCAGCTCATGACATCCCAAAATGCCACCGAAGATATCACGACTGGTGCGAGACCTTGACCCGAATGATCGATTCGTGGCAGATAGGCTTGCGCCAAGTCACATCGCCTACCCCCTTGCATGCTTGAGTGGCTTGGTGCCGGGCTTTGATGTCTGGGCTTCAGCCGTCACTTTTTTTTTAAACTTTTGACTAGACGCGCTTCTGAAGCTTGTGAGGAATTTTGTCGGGCTCATACCTGCATCCTCTCATGAGCGCGTTTAGACTTGACGAGGCAGTACAAGCTGATGCAAACTCAGCTCATGTCCAAGATCACGGCCTTGCAGGACAAGGAAAAGCTGTTGACTGACCAACTGGGTGCGTGCTGTTGACTTTGACGCGGGGGACAGGATGTGCTCGGCCAAAGACAGACATGTTTCCTTGGCCGTTCTTCTCTGGCTATGTTTCGTGCCGAGTGCATCAACCTGATATTGAAACCCGGGTTTGTTGAGAGGCGCAGAGGCCACGCAGCAAGCACTGGACGACGTCAAAGCGCAGGCCAGTCGTGCCATCCGCGAGAAGGACGACAAGATTGCCCAGCTCACGCAGCGCATCGAATCCATGGAGACGGCATATGAAAACGTGCTCAATGTTCGTGTGTTGGCGCCCTAGGCTTCGACATCATAGGCTCACATGTGTATCAAGAATGCACTTGACCACCCCGCCGACCGGTCTGACTGATTCTCATTTGTCACGTGCATGGGTACATATAGGAGGCGCTTGATTCCATGGCCAGCCGGGTTGAGGAGGTACGGGTCAAGCAGGCACCGGCCCAGTCTCCAGCGAGTTGCACAGCCCGGGAAGTTGCAGTCGTTTCCTCACACGTCTTGCTTTGTGGTGCCGTACTAGGCACGTGACAAGTGGGAGGTCGACAGCTATGTGGTGCAGCAGCGCAACAAGGATGTTTTGATGGAGTTTGGACTGAGTCACGTTGCCATCTAATGTGTTTGCACTGCGCTTGCCCCACATGCTCCCGTTCTTCTGGTTGGGCTTTGGTTTCTTCTGGCTGTTTTTTTTTTTTGTTCAAAAGGAGATTAATCGACGTAATAGCAAACGCGCTAGCACGCCAGGCGAGCCCTTTGGTTTTCTTTCTGGTTACCGGCTCCCAACCGCGCTGGAGCCCCAATCAACACAATGTCATTCGATCCCGGTTGCCTTTCATCGCCCCCGGCCCGTGAACGTGAGGCTGCTTGCCATCCGGAGGGCATTGTCAGCAAAAAATCCAAAGTTTGGCTTAAACCAGACTTTGGCTGGATGTCGTGTCCCAAGGCCAAAGGCGTCCGCAGCTGTCCGCAGTTGAGTCGTGATTGTCCGCAAATGGGTACAGGTGTCCGCAGGTGTCCGCAGACCGATCGCAGATTTGTATTGATTTTTCTGGAAAAACCGTTCCACGTCAATTACCGGTACGTGTGTGCCCAGAGTCACCCAAGAAACCAACTTCTCTTTCTTTTGTTGTTGCATGCAACTCGCCAAGGAAGAAGAAGAACAAGGCAAAACGCCTTACCACCATCACCATCAACGTCAACACCTCTTGTGACGTTCGTTCTTTCCCACTCATCCTTCTCCTTTTGTTCTATTCTTTTGTTCTTTCCTTTTCCTTCCTTTTGTTCTTCTCTTTTGTTTCTTCTTTTGTTCCCCAAGCTCCGCGTCACACACATACGCCACACCATCACACGCCACACACTACCAACCTCACACACACACAACACACACAAAGGAAAGAGCATCATGGGAAAGCGCAAGCCAAAGCCAAAGCCAAAGGCAAGGCAAAGGGAAAGGGAAAGGGAAAGGGAGGGGGTGGTGGGGGAAATGGGTGGAGACGGCTTCATTTCCTTTGCTCCAGACGAACCAAAGACTTGCTCTGCTTTTGGATGGTATACCATACAACGACTTCTTTCCAAAACGGCAGCCGCAACCCCTTGGATAGCATTGGTTTTCTGAAAGGAACGCACTTCTTCATTTTCTTCCTGTTCTCATTGCTGGAAGAGTGAGGTGCATTTTTTTTCCAAGCTTCAGAAGTTTGCAGTTGGTGGTTGCTCTTGGCTGCATTCCACGTCTTTTGACTTTTGCATTTGGCAGCGCCTCTCCTTTGCGCACCTGCCACGTTGAACAAGACCCACCGTATTCTTTACACTAAGAATTGGTGTCAAGATACGAGGCCTGGGAGCGTGTGAGACCTGACGACACAGTTTTTGATCTCTTTGTCGCGATCTCTCTTTCCCCCTTTTTTTTTGTTGGACGGTGGCACAAAAGAGAGATTTTGATCAGCGCCATGGCCCTCTGAGTGCCGATCCATCTCGTTGTTTAGTTTGTTTCTGATGTGGCGGATGAGTTGCTGACCTCTCATTCGTCACAAACAAGCCGTGCGTGAGGCTTTGTGATCCATCCCCCTTTTCAGTTTTCTCCCCTTTCTTTTGTTTGCGTATCTTTGACATACGTGTCAAGATGGCGGCGTTAGCTCCTTTGCCTTTGTTCCCTCTTCCCGTCGATGCTTCCAATGACTGGCTCGATGACTTGGCCGATGACATGCCCGAGGATGACTACGACATGGAGATTGAGGAGGCCATCTCCTGGGAACAATCTCTTGCCGAGGACTTTCAAATGCATGTTGCAAAAGCTCTCAGCGTTCTCTCCAACGTCCGTGCTCAGCAGCGTCCCGACAATGCCTGTGGTCCCGCCGACATTGTAAGTCCCCGTTTTTTTTTTCCGAACTGATGACCCCCACCCTCCTCGGTTTCGTTCATCTTACCATCTTTCCCCCCCTCAATTCTCCTAGCTGCCTCAACTTTGCCTGGGTGATGCCAGCCATGCGTTGGATGTCGAACAATTGCGACGTGCTGGTGTTTCTGGCGTGGTCAACTGCGCCGAGTCGGCTACTCTGTCGTCTCGGTCCGACTACCCCGCTGAATGGGAGTATCTGGGTTTCGATGCCCAAGATCACTCCCATTACGACATGCTCGGAAACCACTTTGAGCAGGTCGCTGCCTTTATCGATGCCGCTGCCGCCGCCAAGCGCAAGGTTCTCATCCATTGCCAAGCCGGCGTGAACCGCTCGGCCATGATTGTCGTGGCTTATTACATGCTTTCAACCCATACGGTAGGCCGACTTACCATGTCCTCAGTGTTTTTTTTTTAAATAAAAATTCTTCTTTTGATTCCAAAGAGGCGATGTTGTGCCACTTCTGATCATTTGGTTTTCCATTTTTATGCTCACCTTTGGGGCTTGTATTCGCCCGCCTGTGTTAATAGCCTTTGTTGGCTGCTTTGGATCATTGCGCGCGACAGCGCCCTTGCATCCTTCGCAACGTGGGATTTATTGAGCAACTGGTTGTCTTTGCGCACGAACACAACCTGCTCGACGAGTGAAGTTGTCGTCACGCTGATGGGGACTGGGGCCTGTGGCCCGTCCCTTGGCCGGCTTTGCCGAGTCTGACGACGCTCTTCTCGGGTCCTAAGGTGCCAATCATCTAGTTCAACCGCCTTGTGGTTGCAACTGGTGGTGTCAAGACCCGCTGTGTTTTTACTTTTGTCACAATCACCATCCATTTGTGCCTTTGTGCCGTTGTCACGCTTGCTGTTCGCATGAGTTGCCTGCTTGACGTTTTATAATGGTCTCTTTGTGTCATTCCTGTCCCTACTCTCTTTACACTTTTCTTTTTTGATACCTTTTTCTTTCGTTTCTTGCTGGTGGTGGTGTCCTGTTGCTTTTATTGGCTGAGTGGGGCTTGAAGTCTGTCCGAGCATGAGTCATGTGGCACATGCTTGGGCATTCTCAGCCTTCTCGAGACCTTAATCGCTTTGCTGGGATTCGTCGTGTACTCCCCCACGACGTTGGCCTTGTGCTTTGTGCCAACACCGCAATCGCTTTCTACTTGTTGATGAAAAGCGGGGGAGGCCTTGAGTCGGTACCCCATTTGCAATGGGCTACGACCTTGGCAGAACTTCTACTGCAATTGAGTTGCAGGCTGGGCTTTACTCGCGTGATTGTTCGGGGACCGATCAACTCCGCTGCATGGACATTTTTGTTCATCGTTCCTCATTGTGTCAAGTCTATGAAATTTTAGACTTGAGCGCGAGGGCGCAGAACGTTGTTGGTTGTGGGCTGCCACCCTTGCTGTCCGATTTTGGACGGCTCGGGTGTGCTAGTACCATACCCCCTTACACCCTGACCCCATTGTCACACGCCGATGCATCTTTACATGGCCCGGAGCCTCATGGCCGGGCTGGGTCAGTTTGCCTCATGTACCGCGTTCCCTGGGCTTGATTGTCCAGGGGTGCGAGCTCCGCGAGTATTAAGAGAGACCACTTTAAGGTCACAATCATGCCGATAGTAACGTGCCACACGTACGGGTCGTCGGTCAGCTAGCCAGCCAGTCGGCAGATAATGTCTGCCATCTTCCTATCCAAGGCTTGCTCAGACAGGGTTTCGTCTCTGTCTTGTCGACAAGCGGGCTAGAGCGTGAGGGCACACCGAAGCAAGCATGGCCACATGCCTCACTACCACCAACTCTTTTGGCATTTTTGTGTGATTGGGCTTGGGCTCGAAGCTTAGGGTCAATTATTTAGGTTTAACAACTCCTACTTTCTAGGCGGCAAAGCAATGTCTTGGACTGGACGGATCAAAGTGTGTGCCGATCATAATAATGTGTCCATTCGGATGTTTTGTAAGCTCATTGTTGACCCTTTACCGAATGGCAGGCTGGCCCCTGTCCAGCCGCCCGTACTCGATACCAAAGGTGAGGCGGCATGGCAAAGGCGGGTCAGGTTGGCCTATCGACACGCACCGGCCCAGGATCCCACAGCACGCACATCAGCTTTCGACTTGGTCCCACAACATGCTCCCAGCGTTGGTCTCACACTCACCTCGGCCGTAGTGTCGCACCAAGTTGGCCAATTCAGAAAACTCCAGTTCAGCTCCACGCAAGTTGTAGCCACGTAGCCCGTGATCAACGTCATAAGCACGCGCCTGACCCTCAACGTTGACGACAAGAAGGTAGGTGCCCGTCCCGCGCCCGGGGCCCACAACCATAAAGGCCCCTATCACAAGGTAAGGAGGAAGAGGTGTTTCAAGCATGACCCCGGTGTGAGACACCGTGTACATAATAATTTGTGTTTTGCGTGCGGCGGCCTGCTGGTCACGGCAACACGGTACGCGAACTAACCTCGACAGCCACTCGCTTCAACTACTGCCATCGCCCGTTTCACACCCACGTTGGGGTGTAACCATGGCGGCATTTTTTGGTCGTCTTCCAGCGCACCCACTAATTCTCAAACGTGCGCACGAGTTAGCTGCTTGCCAACGCCCATGTGAGTGGCAGTGCCTTCGCGATCCAAATCTTACATGGTCTCTCATGTTGTGCAAGAAGCGGCAACGCCTCATTGGCGGGATCATCCAAGTCGCCCTCCTCAGCGCTGCTGCCCTTGACTTGCACGTGTCCCGCCTTTCGGGTTTTCTACACGGGGGTGTGTGCGCAAGCAGCTGCAAGTTGAACCCAGCACGTCCAGCGTTCTTTGGCTCGTTTGCACCTGCATATCGAATGATTGGGACGTACTACGAGACCCACGACGATCAGGCCAAGACCCGCCACGCCGGCAAGTACATAGGGCCAGTTGTGCCGGACCCAGGCCCAGGCTTTCTTGGCCGAGAGCCCTCCCAAGAAGTCTTGCAATTCGTTGAGCAGGTCTTGGCTATCCACGGTCGTGCATTGCCCAACTTCATTGCAGTAGCCCGAATACCTTTGCAATCAGAGACCCGCAGAGCCTCAGATGAGAGAGCAAAGACGCCAACCACACGTCAGCTTGCTGTAACTACCGGCCTGCTCGCCTGACCGTTTCACCTTTATTCGCGCACGGTTGCATGACACGCAAAAAGGCTGACTCGACTCACTCTTCACACGGCGCTCCCGTGGGCAAGGGGATGGTGGTCGTCATGTTGGGGTGGCGCTGGGCCCGATTGTCGCTACCGATGCACGTAGCACCATCTCCCCAACCAGGCCCCTTGCACGCCACCTGCGTCAAGTGTTCATACATATGCCATGGTGAGAGCAGCCCTCTGCTGAGCTTTACAAGTTGATGCCGGCATGTTGCTCCGTACCACGCAGGCGCTGGTACCCGAAAGGCTGCAAGCCGTGGCGTTGTACAGCGTGCAAATGGACTGCGAGCAGCGACCATCCTTGCACACCTTCGTGATCAAACAGGGATTCATCAACCAAGAGCAAGGGGCCAGGAGCAAAAGTCAGCCATTGAGAAAACGTGTCAAGACAATAGCCCCACAAGTGCTTTTCGGTCGAATCAACGTGAAACCACCTCTGAACAACGGACCTTTGATGCTGATTCGGGATAGGCGGTGCAATCGTCTTCCAAGCAAGCACACGGGGTTTGATCCGGCTTGATGGCTACGAGTGAATTTTTCGGATCAAAAGTCCACGATCCAATAAGCCAGAGAATGATTCTGTTTGCTGCAATGCAATTGACACCGACCTGTAGTAGGGCATGCCGCGGCCTGGCCACTGCAATACGCAGTCTCGGTGCAGGAGGTGGCTTCAGCGCAAATCATGCTGGCATTGGCTGGTACAAAAAGACACTGCTTGGTGCAGCATGGAAAGCGGACCGGGTCTTGGGGTGAACATTGGGCTGTGTCTGGTAGTTCGCATTCGTCTGTGCAACACGGATCTCTGGCACACTGGTCTCCGCAGTCGCAGAGCTCATCATCTTCCACAATGCCGTTACCTATGGCGTTTGAAGTCGAGCATGTTTGCAACACGAGTCAGAGGCCAGGAGGGTACTTGGCGAGTCAGGCTGACAGGTGCGGGGTTTCGTTTTTGTCATCAATCTGGACTCACCGCACACCGATGCCTTGTCACTGAAGCAAGCTAAGAGATTCGGACAAGGGGGGGCGTTGGCAATTACGTGATGAGTGCCTCGGATCGGACATTTCGCGGTTAGATTCCTAGGGCCAGAGCCCGCGCAAGCTCCACTAGGATATGCATGGCGGCAGCGACTATCACACACCATTGGCACGCGCGTCCAAGACACGCCCAATCGAGTTGAGCGAGCAGGAGGAAAAGGCGTCGTTGTTAGCGTGGGATCCATCGGTGGCCTGGGCAAACCTATTCATCAGTTGCGCACGTCTGGTGAGCGCGCAAAACCAGCCATGATGAAGAGCCATGGGGCCGACCCTGCTGAAGCTTAATGTACAAAGTAAAATAGCACACATGATGTAATTGCCCCCGCCAGCGCTGCCCGGAGCACAAGTTGCGGAGTTTTCAGGGTCGTGGTTGGCACCATGATTGTGACCAATTCTATTGGCAACGAGTGTGGGTGAGTCTGCCAGATATTCGACTGCACCAAGGGCAGGCTCAAGGCCGGCCAGGAAAATTTTAGCTCACTCGTGGGCCAACACTAGCTGCGCCACCGCCGACGAAACCTGGGCGCAAACAGCAAGAAGGAAAGAACACAAGCTGGCAGTTGAGTGCGAGCGTTGTGCAGCAAACGATGCAAGAGCGTGCTGCGTTTGCAAGTTTATCTTTGAGGAGCGGTATGATCAGGACATACGCGAGAGCCAAACGTGGAGACGGTGGTAAAGCCGGTGTTATAGCCACGGGTGTCACAGATGCCTGCGCCGGTGTCGGTGCCCACCCAAGCCAGGCCTAGGATGCCGCTGAAATCGTAATTGGTAAACATGTGGGCCAGGCATACATTTGCTCCGTAGGCGGAAGTGGAGTAGGCTTCTAAAAAGGCGTCTGCCGTGTATGCGCTGACCCAGCACGGCCCATTGGCACCATTCAATGGGGCAGGTCGGGGTCACTGTGAGTTGCCCGGCTATCTCGTCAAGGAACGCGCCACAGATGAGGTAGAATCAACTTGGACCAACCTTTTGGCGACGGGATTGCCGGCAGCCTGCGGGGAGGCGTAGACCCGAACTTCGGCCACGGAAAGACCATAATTTGTGGTACCTCCAAAGGCAGAATTGCGGTAGATCACATCGACATCGGACAGCGCTTGAATCATGAGGCCAACAGTAACGTCGACGTCACCGCCCATGGCCTGGTGATAACGGTGGTCTGCCATCAACAACATGGGACAGGTGCATTTGCCCGTGCAGCTGGATCGCCGCCAGCGACCTTCAGCTGCCCTCGCTGCGAGAACTTGAGGATCCCGGGACTCAGGCGGTGCTCGACTCTGCGCTAGCCCGCAAAAGCCAGCCTCTGATGACCGGCGCAACCGAGCGTCAAGCTCACGGGCTACGGCTGTGTGACGCCAAAACAGGTGGTGGTGGGTGGCGTTGTGAGGCTCAACGTGAAGCACGCGGTTGTCAACGTGCATCATGGCCTGCACACGTTGGCCCTCTGCATCCAACATCAAGACGTGGGCCTGGGCGACGGCCCGGTTGCCAGCGAAGAGGCAGGGCTGGTCACGGGCCTCCCAAAGACGCGAGCTGTTCAACTGGTGTCGCTTCACACCCATGTCGGTGTGATGCCAGACAACGAGGCCAGGTCTCACGACGCTGCTCGGGCCCAAGCGCAATGGGGCAGCAAAGCCGTCAACTTGAAGATGCAGCTCATTCGACCCCGCCATCTCCACCTTGACCGGGGCCCACCAGTCGGCATCGTGCGCAGCCACAAAGCTCGCCATCAGCACGACGCTAATCACCATCCTCCACGGCGCCATGGCCAGTAATTTGCCCAGGCCCCAAGTGCACCCTCACCGAGAGAATTCATTCAGAATCTCTCGAGATGCCTGACACTTGAAAGTTGAGAGAGAGAGAGAGAGAGTTTGAGAGAGAGAGAGAGAGAGTTTGAGAGTTTGAGAGAGTTTGAGAGAGAGAGTTTGAGAGAGAGAGTTTGAGAGAGAGTGTTTGAGAGAGAGAGTTTGAGAGAGAGATTCACACAAATTGTTGGCGACACTTCAAGAGAGGAGAGAGAGAGAGAGAGAGAGAGTTTGAAAGGAGAAGAGTTTGAGGGAAGAGTTTGAGAGAGAGCGAAAAGTTTGAGAGAGAGGGAGAGGGAGAGAGGAGAGTCAATTATTTATTCACGCCGGCCTTGGTCACGGGGGCGGGCTTGGTCACCCGGGTTGGAGATCGGGCGTGGCAGAGGATTGGTATCGTTGGGGTTGATTCGAGGTGGTCGGGCACGCTGAGGGCTATCATCATGGGGGTGGCGGGATCGACTTTGGCTGTCCGGCCATGGTACCCACCTGAGCCTGAGCTCACGGGACATCAATTGCAAGCCTTGAATGTACTGCGCATTAGCGTGCTCGGTACGGCTCCTCGATCTTGGGTCCATTCGAACCTCTGTTGCCTCACTTTACCAGCAATTGGTGACTGGCGAAAGAAGCGTTGTTCCCACCATTTGCTCATGCTTGTGCACTGCGCAATTTACTTCCAGGCTGGGCCATTTCATCCTACATCAAAGCGGTGTTCCTGTCACCGCAACGGCGCAACGGACACCCGTTGTTCCTTGAGACTCCACCTGACCGTGTGGCAACGCTCATTCGCAACTTCTCCTTCTTCAGCTGGTACATGAGTTTGCGCCTGCTCTTCTCATCGCAGAGCTCGTCCTCGTCGCTACGCTGGTTGGCCAAGCAGTGCCAGGGTCTATCAGCCAACGCTGTCGCGAGCATCACCATCACCGCTGAACTGCTCTTTGATGAGCTCTCCTATGCTATTTGCCTGATTAGTCATGATGCAAAAGCAGAACTCTACGGCCGGCCCCTGAATCCTCGTCAACAGCCTGAGCTTTTTGTCTGTTGTATCTGCCACGACAATGGCCTCGCTTCTCCCCTGTACACGTTTTGTCAAGAGTCTGAGGCCCACCTCGCACACTGGAGTTGCATGATGGCCTGGTACGAGAGCGATGCAAATCTGGCCAAGCAGTGTCCGCTTTGCCGCGGTGGTCTCAAGACCATACCCACACCGGTGACCACCCGTGTCTTGACCTTACTTCAGTCCAAGCGCTTCTGGGCCGGACTTTTGCGCCGCTGCGCCGTTGTGGCTGGAAGCAACGCAGCCAGCCTGCTCATTTTTCTGCTCATGTTTGGTCTTCAAACCCTGAGGCGACAGATGCGCCCCGGGTACGTGCATGGCCAGGCCCTGAGCAAAGCCATCCAACAGGCCGCGCTGCAGCGCACCGACTAAGCCACCATGCGACAATTGGCGGGGCAATATGCACGTGCATGGTGCCCCTCCGGCTGAAGAGCTACATGGCATTTGGTAGTGTTCTTGAGGATGGTTTCCCTGATTCAGGGGGACTTGAGTTTGATCATGTGATTGGCATTGGCCTTTCCAGGCGCTGTGCGTCATTGTAATTGCATGGGCCTACGATGCTGCGAGCCTCGTGTGCTGGACTTCAAGATGGTTTCTCCTCAGCGCCAAGGCCCGTGTTTAAAAAAAAAAAAGGAAAACAAAAAAAAGAAAAAGTTGACATGGATGCAGCATGTTGTGCCGGCGATTTCACTTCAGATGTGACATGTCAGGCAAGGAGTTAAGATTTTTTATTTTTTTATTTTTTTTTTTGGCTGGTGTTGGTTTGTTAGACAAAGGCAAAAGTCAATTGCGAGCTCACGCCGCAGACGAGAGCGAGAAGTCTGCCCACAGCAAGCCTGTCCCTCCGCAGGAGGCGGCCAGGCATGAATCCTTCCTCAGTTAAAGCCCATTACATTAACCTGAACACACGCACAAGGTTTATCGTCGGACGATGAACCAAGGTTGTTGATAGAGAGCTCTGGGAACAAGATAAACACAAACGATAAGGAAAGCGACGACACGACTTTATCCAAAGGTGATGGTGGAGGTAGTGGGAGGGCGCGAGTTGTGCTTTGAAGTAGGTCGGGTGGATGTTTTGGACACGGGCCTCGACGTAGCCGCGGCTGAGGTGCCACTGCGGCGCGCTGCGGGGAGATCTGCGTTGGATAGGCCAAACTCAAAAGTCGTGGCGCTGACCATGCGCGCTTGTTGCAGCTGTCGCGTTGCAACCACCTCGTTTGCAGTGGGCGGCGCCGTGGTTCGGCCGCGTTGGGTGGTGGCAGTTCGCTGCGACCGCTGGGAATCTAGGCGCGAGCTAGCCCGCGAACTGCCGACCACACTACCTCCCGCCACGCTGCCCATGCGTGAGGTAGAAGTGGAGGGGGCCCCCGTGCCGCGCGCTGGTTTGATACCGGATTGGTCATACAAAAGTCGGACCTGCACGCCGAGATCCGGATAGTTTTGAACAACACCATCAATCTCCCGCATAATGCGAGCATTGAACTCGGTCAATTGCCGAAATCGACAATCCTGCTCCTCAGGCGTGGGTGCTGCAGCAGAAGAGCCTGTGCGCTCACGATGTTGCTCGACCAATTGGGTGGAGCGCTTAACAGCGCGACTCAACTTGACATCCTGCTCTGCCAGCTCGCGCTCCAGTTCACGCGACTCGGCCTCAGCCTGATCGACTTGCTTAGCCAGGGCCCGGGCTTCATGTGAAACCGCTGCCAGAGTCCGCTGCAAAGTATCAAGCTCTGCCATCCTGTCCTTGAGATCACGGCGCTTCAGTTTATACTTGTCCATGGCCGCATGAAGTTGGTGCTCCAGGTGCTCACGCGTCTGGATTTCAGTATCCGATCCCTCCACACGTCGCAATGACTGCTTTAGTTTACCGTTGCGCGAGTCCATCAATCGCAGCGTGTTTTCCAGCGCTCGAACTTCCTTCTCGCCCTTGCGAATTTTTTCATCCAGCGCATCACCCTATTATTGGGAGGAGAAAGGTGAGAAAACAACAACAATAACAAAAAGAAAAAAAGAACAAGGAAACAGAAAGGGAGCCAGGCGTCGTTGCACACGTAGTGCAAGCATGAATCTGGGTCAAGTGAATGCAAAAGGTAAACGCTCAAGACCACTTGCCTCGCGTTGTAGCTCCTCACGCTCCTGCGCATGCTTAATCACAAAGTAAGCCTGTGTGCGTGGCTTGCCGTCATCGTCCGACTCCATGGAGCTGATGATAATCTCGTAGCGCTTGCGTAGCTGCTCAATCTTATTGAAGCGCTCCTTCAATTCTACAAAGACGTAGGGCAGGCCCAAACAAACATGAGCAACAAGCCGGAGACGAAAACGAGAGCCAATCAGCCACGGGCGTGGGCGTGGGCTGGCGTGAAGCGAGAACGGGCTGCATTGTTTACCCGACGCCGATCAAACTGCGCATCAAAGGCATCGAGGACATGCAAGTCAGCAAACCTACCGCGATTGATGGAGGTGGCGTCCGTTTGGTTGTCACGAATTTGCTTGGTCAACATCTCCTTATGCACCGCAATCTCCGATAGGCGCTCTTGCATGGCTTGCTTCAACTCAATCTTGCGCTGCTCGAGAGTGAAGACCTGGTCTGCGCGGCGGTTAAGGGCCTTGCGCACGCGACGAATCTCTAGCTTCAGGACGTTCTCATCGACGATCAAATCTTCCTTGGCCTTGAGCATGGCCTTGTACTCCTTCTCTGTCGCATTAATCGTCAGCTCAAGGGTTGCCAGGCGCGATTCCCACTGTTGACGTTCCTGTGCCGTGCTGTCATATTTGCGGCGCTGAACGCGCAGCTGATCCTCGGAACGAGTGATTTGTGTGTTGAGGAGCGTGCGCGTTTGCTCCTGATCAGCCAGTTGCTGCTTGAGTTCGGCGATGGCGGCTTGAAAGGCCTCCTCTTCTTGTTTGCTACGTTTGCCGCTGAGCTTGGCCAAGGTGCGCTCCAGAGTGGTGATCTGAAAATCCTGTTGATACAAGAGTTGGCCTTGCTGCACCAACTCCCGCTCAACCGTGCTCAGGCGCGAACGCGCATTTTTTAGGGTTGCTTCCAGAGACGCAATGTCTTGCTTCAACAGGCCCTTGTTGGCCTGCAGTTCGGCGACCCGGGTAGAGGCGGCAAACTGCTGTTGACGGGCCGCAGCAACCTCCTTGATCATGAGATCAAGATCGCGCTCCTCCTCCTTGAGCATGTTCTCGAGTTGAGTTGTACGTTCTTCAGCTGTCAAACCCTTGGCCTCGGCATCGTCTAGCCGGCGTTGCGTTTCCTTGAGCTCTGCTTCAAGTTCCTCGACGCGTGCCTGGCGGTGAGCAATCTGGTCTTTGAGCGAAGTCAAATGCTTCTTCTTGGCGTTGTTGTCAGCCGTCACGCGCGACAATGTTGTGCGAAGAGCGGCCAGCTGCAGAGCGGTGAGAACGAACAAAGTGAATGTTCCATCAAATACCATGAGCCGGATGATGGAAACCAAGATGGCGAACGAGGTTGACCAATGGGGGTCCCAACGAGGTTGACCAACGGGGATCCCAGTTGGACGCAATTTTAACCCGCAGGCTGGGGCAAGCGCTTGGGTGATGGGGTGCGTACCTCATCTCGGTAAGCCTGTAATTGCTGGTCAGCGCGGGAGACGGATTGGCTGGTTTGCTCCACCGCACGCTCAGCCAGGTGAATCTCGCGCTCCACCTCGCTGTTGTTTTTATTGTTATCTCGCAGAAAGAGCTCCTTGTCCTTGAGCGTGGCCATCTGTGGTCCATGTGACGAGCAAAGGTAAACACGTGTTCACGCACACAACACCATGAGATGCTAAATTGAAGCATGGTTGGCACATGAAGCTGATGGGCGCGTTTTGCAGGGTTAACTCCTGCGTACCTGTTCGCTAATCTGGCCACGGAGCTTGGTGTAATGTTCGGCTTCCTGGGCAATTTCTGTATCACGAGCCTCCATCTGGGCAATAACGGCCTCCCAATCGCGGGTAATTTGCTGTTGCTCGCGATGAATGCGCGTGAAGGTCTCACTGGCTTTGTTGAGGCCAATGCGCTGTGACTCTGTCTCGAGGGATTCTTGCTGCAGGTCGCGCGTGAGTTTGGTCGAGGCTTCTGTCAGCTTCTCAATCTGCAGGGTCAGCTCCTTGATCTTGCTCTCGTCGGCTCGAGAATACTTTTCCAGCACAGCGGCATCCTCGTCGATGACCTTGGTCTTGGCGACCCAGGCATCTAGCTCTCCCTGATTCCAGGACATGTCTTCCTTGATCCCATCGATGCGCTGTTTGCACTGAAAGGCGTTGTTCTGAGCGTTGTTCATGCGATCCATCGCCGCCTGTAGTTCAGCCTCCATCCGCTTGACGTCCCGGCGCAAGCGTTCCTGTGCCTTTTCGCCTGCAACAGCAGGGGCCAGTCGAAGCGGATGAGGGTGGTGAAACGTGGAAGATGCAGCACAGACCCAGTGACAGCGGGACGCCGAGCAGAAACGGGAGCCGCTACAACAGGGTGACCAAGGGTCAAACAGGATGGGCACACGCACTCATGGTCAAAAGATGGGATTCATTGTCTTGTTCACGATTCTTCGTCTCCAACAACGCCTGCGTATGCTGGAGCTCCTGTTGAACATTCTTGAGGTGCTCGTTCATGACCTTGACACGGTCCCGCTGCTGCTCCAGCTGAGACTCGACTTGGAGCAGCTTGCGCTCGGAGGCGCGGATCTACGAGGCAAACATGTTGTGGGTAAGCCTCCAGTTTGGGTTCATCCATCCTGGGAGCGGGCACACCGGGGCCGTGGACCTAGAGCAAGCTCGGTCATGTTGACAACCAACCTCCTTGTCGAGTTGCCGGTTGGCGGCATTGGCAGCAAAGGGGGCCGCATCGTCATCGTCTTCCAGAAAGTCGAGATCCAGATCCGCTTCGTCATAGAGATCGTTATCTGCAGCAGCAGGGGCTGCCATGCTTGATGGTCGTTCGCGCAGACGATTCAGCTGAAACGATCCACTTATGTATGATCCACACCACGCAAAACGTCAACCGGTCCGGACCGTTCACCACAGCCAAAACGCAACCGGGCGTTCCAGCAATACCCCTGCGAAGCGGTGGCAAAGGGGAGCGCGGGCTGCCAGCAGACTCGGCCGGCAATTATTGGCTCTGGCGTTGGTCGCTCGCTCGCTTGGTCCGAGGATGCAGCTCGCAGCGGTTGTCAGGGCCCTAATAAATTGAATTAGTGGGGCTTCTTTTTTACCAGGTCCAGCTATAACCACTTGTCAGATAAACTATCCGCCCCCTCACTCAAACAAAAGAACGTTGCAAGGCGGTGAAGCCGGTGGAGTTGATGCATTAGAATTTGCAGATAGTGTATACATTATAGGCAGAGCAGTGAAAGTTATTGCAGGTTGTGTTGGCGTTTTCGTAGATACGGCTGCTTTAGGTGTTTTCTTGCTTTCTTTGGCTCGAGCGGAGTAGCAACAGCAGCAGCAGCGGCGCGCACGACGGACGGACGGACGGACGGACCCGCTGATTGTCCATCACCGTGCTGCAACGGGTATCGACTCAGCTGGCACATACCTGGCTTCTTTTAGCTGCCTTTTTATTTGTACGCTGCCCCTGGGCCAAGCTCTACCACCGTGAACAAGGAGGTATGTCTGTGCGGGCAGGCGCGTTTTGGCGCGATTTCCTGCACGTCACAAACAGTCAGGTTTTGGGGTCTTGAGGCTCGGTTGACCGTGGGAGAGGAGGGCTGATCGCGGCAGTGCAGGCCCAGTGCGCGTGACAAGATTCTCGAATTTTCAGAAGCATGACCTTCCTGACGAGCTCATCTCTCTCTGCCTGCTCTCCGCTTTTTTTGGGCTGCCACAGTCTTCGATTGTCATCAACAAACCGGGACGATGACGGCACCTCCCGCAGCCTCAATTGCGTTGCATGCAGTGGTATTCCCCTCCATCGAAGAAGTAAGTTTGACCATCTGCGCAAGGCGACACTCTTATATCCCGCGTAATCAATTCCAATAAGGGCAAAGGAGCCGAAATGCAACGCCACTTCGCCTCGGGTATCTCAAGCATTGTGCTGCTGGCTACGCCTGCATCCTAGTTGGAGCAGGCCGATGCATCGGCAGCGGCAGCTCTCCAGTCCTTGCGTGCAGCTCTGGAAAAGGCCGAGGCACACAATCCCGGTTTTGTTCACGAATTCGTGGATCAAGTCTTGGAGCGTGCGCAGTCTAAGGGTGGCACGGACATTTCAGAACAGCTCCTCCGAAAGGCCAACAGTGACATTGAGAGTACGTTGCCTGGCCCTTCTCGTCCAATGTCATCTGCCCAGCCCACGCCACCAGGCAGCAACATGCCAGCCAAGCACGACTCTTGACCAATGCATGGCGCGAGCTTTAATTCTTATTTTTTATGATCGATTTACTTTTTTTTGTGGGAGTGAAAATGCTCATTCTCACCCTCCCTCCCTCTTGTGGCGCTCTTGGTTGGTAGGCTATCGCTTTGACACGAAGACCCCTGAGCTCAAGGACTTGCTGCAGCGGGCGGAAGCTCTGAAGGTTTGTTCTACAAGCTCGGCAACATCATGTCAAGTGCCCCCTGCTGCTGCGAGCGGAGGGCGTTTGAGGGCGTTCAAGGGCGTTCGACTGCGCATGCAACCACCTCGACCTTGCCTCACGAGCGGTATGACGATGCACACAGGAGATTCTGAGTACCATTCCGGATGAAGTCCAGAATCGCACGCGCTTTCTGGGCATTATCCGCAAGATTGCGGAGAGCATCAAGGAGGTGCTGGATGCCGTCAACGCCGTGGCCACCAACAACGCTGATGTCATGGGTGACCACATTACTGGCCTGCAGCAACAGCGCAAAACTTTTGTTCGCGGCTCCAAGAGCTTTAGCGACACTTTGAAACAGTATTTCAAGGATAACAAGTACGTTCAACCCCTCACGCGTGCTGCCGTTGAGTTTTACGTCTATGCCAGCACCGAGACCGCGACTGATGTATGCCATGCTTCTTCCCCACCCGTCTCTCCTTCATAGGGCGCCGGTACTCTTCAAGGCAGCACACCGCCTAATAGATCAGACCAACAGTCTGCTCCGAACCATCAAGGCGGCCGTGGATGCTTAAGTTGGCCGGCCGCCGCCCTGTGTTTCCTTGTTCCCTTCCCGCTGTACAAAAGCCAAAACATATGGGAAAGATGATTGCATCTGTGCACGCGAGGGCAACCACCCTCGTCCTTTGATAGTCCCTGCCTTGGCGGCACAGCCGTGCCGCCGGCTTCTGCTGGGCGCTCTCGTCCATGGGTGTAACCGGCGCCTGCAAGCGTTCCATTCACCACAAAATCGATGTTAAACTTTTCCATCATACCCCTGGTTTCCTGTGTTGAAGCCCTGCGTCAATCATCTGCACCTGATCCACCCAGAAGAAACTGATGAAACGGGGGACGATACAGGTACCCATCAAACATCACCCACGTCCAACCAAACACAGCGGCAGCACGCCACAGTGGGTGTGCCGTGCCAGTCAAACAACGATCCGGCGAAGAAGAACAGAATTGTCAGACAAAATCTGCCATCGAGTCAATTAATTATTTCACTGACATGTGAATCCTCGTGCTCAGCTCGAACTCGAACTCGAGCTCGTGCCCTTAAGGCCGGCGAGCTTGGCCGGCTGGGTGGTGCGTGTGGGGTTGTGACGTTCAAGGATTGGGTCGCAAGGAGCCCCAAGGTCAAAAGGCGCAAACATTGGGGGTTTGGATCAAGAAACGGTTCAGTCCATCACGGGTCGCATGGCGACCCATGACCGACACCCGGCGACCCGCCGGTTGGAGAGGCAACCGGCCGATTACGGACGAATCAAGTCAAGGGTGATTGTTCAAACCACCAAGCCCACCTTCTCTCTTCTCTCTTTTGGACACACAACGTATGGGGCCCTCATGTCGCGTCAACGGTCACGGTTTGACCCCCAACAACCATCACCTCCACGTTAGTCGCTCGTGATCACCGGGCCGACCACAGCGTCTGCAGGTGGGCTGCATCCCCAACCGCCACCCCCTCCCAAGAAAAAAGTCCACGAGAGCTACGCAGTCAAGGGAAGGCAAAGCAGGCCATAACGCTCATGGCATGACACCTGCAACGCAACACCTGTTTTTATACCACAGGAGTGCACCCACTGCTCGAGCGCCTTGCCCAAGATGTCTGCGGAAAGGAGGGCATTTTCCCTCTTCAAGTCGTGAGTGTCGTCGATGCCACGGGTGTGCACGCACACGCACACGCACACACGCACTTTGCTTTCTACGCGCACACGCAAAATAACAATTCTTTTATTATTCGCTGACCTTTTTGCTTCCCCCGCCTGCTACCTGCCGACGTATGCTTTCACAAGCAGCTTCCAAAGGTCAAAGTCAATCCCCAGGCGTGTACGGCTTGGTGGCCGTTCCCGCCACTCCGTTTTAAGTAGCCAACCCCCAAATCTTTTTGAACAGCAGTCATGGACTTTGACGTTGGTTTTGATGGAGCGCTGGATACCCATCTGCTAGCCTCTGCACCCTGGCATTGGGGCCAGAGCCTTGATGCGTCACCATCATCCAGCCCTGTGGGGTTTCGTGGCACCGGCGATGCCGTCCACGAGGAGTTGCGTCCAGGACACAGGCTCGTCGCACAATCTGGCATCCACTACCAAGTGATTCGTGCCCGCGCCGAGGACGGGTAAGCGGCTTGTTCCGCCACCTTGGCCCCTTTTCCACCCCCTTCTTCAGCCTGGCAGCCGTTGTTCCCATCGGCCTTTCCCTGATTCTCACATTGAATGGCTGGTGGGCCACTTAGATTCAAGCTCTTGCGCGAGTCTACTGACGAGATGTGCTTTGGCCACTTGCTGATTGGTGCCCCAGAGAACTGTGCTTGGACTGTAGGGCTGCAGATTCGCAACCAGCGCTCGGCACCCGAAGCTCCAGATCACGTCATCCTGCCCTCGGATCTATGCATCACCCATGGCGCAATTATGGTGGTTTATGACGGAGTAGCTCGCGCCGAGCCCGTGCTCAAGTGCTTTGCCACGCAGCAAGACGAAGACACACGTCTTCTTTTACTGATCCAGTGCCTCATAGGTCAGTAAGGCTGTGTCATCATCAGTCCACTATCCATTACACATTTCATTGCCTCTTGTGCGCTTTCTCGGACCCACCCGCGCTTTCGTCGCTGTTTCTCCTTGACCACGAGGCAACACTTGTGACGCACCGGGTGGCAGCAACTTACGCGTCGTCTTTCCGGCTTGACTTTGATGCACAGCAACGGTGGCCGCCGAGCCGTACGCCCGATGCTTTCTGGGTCTAAGTGGCTGCATCTTGGGCCCCAAGGCACGTGTAGTGGCGTTGCCTTCCTACGGCTTTGCCACTGACGGCAAAGCTGCTGCCGATGATACCGCCTGGTTGCTTCAAGCCTTGCGTGATTTGGGCCTCGACGGTGAGTCCAGGCATAACCTTTTCATGAGTGTGGTGTTCTTGCCGCGGCGTATGCCTGAATCTTTGGCTTGTTCGCTGGGCGGCGACCTCTCTCGTTGCACTCGTGTCCTCTCATGGCGACCTGCGCGGCCTTTGTCTTGATCTTGGCATAGGCTCACGATTACCCGAAGTGACACGCCTGCAGACGGCCCTGGCTACCCACAAGCACTTGAGCCTTGTTGCGCGAATGCCCTGGGTGCAGGCACTCACTGAAGCCTGGGACACGGCATTGTTGCAAGACGGTGTCGCTTCCGGTTGTGGGGACGTTACTAGTCCTCACAACCGACTCTCTCCGTGCCTGGGGCTTCACAGTGCCATGGCTGAGCCGGCCTCGCCCCCACGGCGAGACGGCTCGAGCCGCTTCGTGCCACGGGCCCTGTGCAAGTTTTCACGACGCGGCATCATCTGTCGCACCCCTGGGTGCACCTTTTTGCATCTGCCGGGTCTGAAGGTGGCTGACGCACAACTTGCCCAGCTACCCCCGCTGCCCAGCCCACCAGAGGGTTATCAGTGCCACAACTGTGGCAGCAACGAGCACTATCGCCAAGACTGTCCCCAACCACAACGGTGCAAATATACAAGTGATGGTGGCTGCTGCACTCGACCCCACTGCGCCTTTTTTCATCCGGCCGGCACGCGCCGCGAACCATCACTGGCGGAAGTGTCCCACCACACGCCTCCACCTGGCTGTAAGTAACCAGCAGAGCAAGGCAGGGTTCCCACCGCGCCTGCCCGGTCGAACCGAGGTCACGCGTTTCATGTTTTCCCCTGTGTGTTCAACTCACAGTCTGTTTGCTTGCTACCCCAGATGTGTGCTATAATTGCATGGACAAGAGTCGATCTCATTTCAAGCTCAACTGTCCACACCCCTCGCGCTGCCCGCGCACCATGCGCGGCGATGGCGTCTGCGCCACCACCGGCTGCAAGCTCTATCATCCCGTGCACCAAGTCCGCCCTCGTCCCCTGCAGCGCGTTGGCTCAGCCAACGAGAGTCAGCTGCGTGGCTTGCACGTCTTGGCACCTGGCGTGTGCCATCTCAGCCGCACTGCCACCTGGTTCTAAGCTGCTGTGCCCCTTGTCCCCTTTGACCTCGCAATGCGAGTGCCGTTTGAATTTTCTCCCTCTCCTTGCGTTTGCCTTCCTTGGCCGTCGCCGTCGCCTATGCCATGTCGACCTGAGTCGAGGAGGTATTGGGTGGCGTACAGCGTCTGATGTTTTGTTTGATCTTCATTTGGAAATTCCGTCCGCCGGAGCATTCATATTTTTCTGCACCATCTCATTGTGCTGATTTTGAGTCTTTTCTGAGCTGGTTCTTTGAGAGCCCTATGTACTGTAGACCCCCCTTTTTTTCTTCTCTTCCTTTTTCGAGCAATTAAATTTGTCAATGTCCTATGAGCCACCGTCTGTGCCACTTCGTCTGTGCCACTTTATCTGTGCCACTTTATCTGTGCCACTTCATTTGTGCCACTTCGTCTATTCTGTATCCAGACTGCGCACAGTTTGCGCAGACCGGAAAAATTTTCTCACATGCACAACAATAACACCCCTCTGTAAAGTAAAATTCAAGCCCAGTGTACGTACATGTTCCCACTTTTGTTGAAACAGCGGCTATCTGAAAGGTGCCGGACGGTGCTCTTGAGCGCCGCTGCCCGACCTCAACTCCCTGCATGTCTTGTGCCGAGCCCGATCACTTCTGGCCGCAAGCAGGCGTTGGTGGACTGTAGTGTCGCATGGTCAAGGCTAAGCGACGACGGGGCACATGTCTGTCCGGGCGTTCTGATTCCAAAGTTGTCGTTGTCTCCCGCCTGCAACTGCCGTGCGCGCCGCGCCCCCGCCCCCTTCACGAAAACACGGGGGCCCACTACAGACATCGCGTTGTACATAAGAGGACGGATAGACTGCGGGCTGAGAGGCTCGGGTGGCTTTCACTATGCCGCGTCGATCCGCAACGGCTCCGGCATTGGCGCTTCCAGCGCATCCCAGCGTGGAACCGGCCTATGATGTCCACCTACCTGCCGCCCAGCAGCCCCGCAGACCACGACGCGTGCGGAATCGACAGGAAGTGCTACGTGACGAGCACGGCGTGGAAAATGTTCCATTTCGCTCCCCAGCAGCTGCTCTGCTCGATGGCCTTCGAACTCTTGGTCGTCGCCAGCCGCGCATGCACCGTTCAGGATCCGACCTCGAGCTGGCATCAATTCGGGTTTGTGAAACCGGACCCAGGCCCTTCAGTTCCATCCGTCTCTGCCGTTTTCTCACGTCGGGCTTCATGGTGCCTTGTATGTCATACCTCGAGGGCAGACCACATCAACAGCAGTGGCTGGTGATGATCTCGACGCCTCGTAGGTTCCTTGCCACACCTCCTATCCTCTCTATGTACAAGCATGCGCCTTCTCATATGCCCTTCCCGTCTTGAATTCGCCCTATCTGTCTCAGCGGTGCCAAACCACTTCCGTCGAGCCAGCAGCAGCCTCGCGGTACAATAGCGTCTCTTGCGCCTCGCGTCATTCCATCTCTGACAAAATGATGGGTGCTATAATCTCCCAGCTATGGGAGATGACAAGGAAGTGCGCAACTCATGTCCTTGGGATGTTTTGCGGCTAGCTGCCTGGTCTGAAGGCAGCGCACAGAGGGCGCAGGACAGGGCCGAGGTAGAGAGGCGCCGGAAGCAAAGGCTCGTTCCAGTTGACCGAGAGCAGCTCTCTCTCACCGCCAAGAAGCGGCAGGTATGCCAGGCTAGCTAGCTGCTCGCCACTCGCGCGCTTGCGTTCGGGCTCAAGTTGCATGCCTGGCAGGCCCGGCGCAAGCTGCGGGATATCAGCGAGAAACGCGTTCTTTTTGTCTGGTTTGCCACGATTGTTATGGTGCGTGCATCATGGCTCGTCCCCCGACGCATGGCCTCGCATCTGCTTGCCACCGAGATAAACCTGAGCCGTGCTCTTCGTGCAACTAGTTGGTAGTGACGGCCGGAATGGTGGGACTTTATCCCATGGCACCCGTTGCGCTCAAGTCTGAAGTAAGAGACATCTGTTTGAGCTCCCAGGTGCATTGGGTTTCGCCAATCGCTCAATGCTGTCAAAACGGGAACTTCATTCAGGAGGAGCCCCATGCCAACTTTTGGATTGGGCCCTACGATCAAGACCTTTTGCATGCCGGGGCCATGTATGCACCTTGCGTGCGCCAAGACTCGAGTATTTATAACGATTATGTGGCACCCACCATTGAAGCTGAGAATCGTTCCGGGTATGCGCACCCCCTTTTCTTTTTCGTTTCATGTTATAAGCAAATGTCGTCTCCATATTCTGGAGGTGAAGCCAATTGCTGGTGATAGATCAGCGTGGGCCTGCTAAATATAACACCTTGCTCTGGTCCCCCCACCCCTCTGTATTTGTTCTGGCACTTGCTGATGTGACAGGTGTTGCATCGATTATACCTTGTTTGGGTCCGGGTGCTGGACAAGCCTGCCAGAGGAATGTCCCAACGTCTCCTCATCGGTTGGGTTTATTGATGGGGAGGTGTGCGGGGGTGCGCACTGCTGCAACGATCCCGACAACTGGCCCGACTGCTTTTATCGGGTACGCAGGAGCATTTGGTTGGGATGCAGCGGTGCACGTATAGACTTTCGTTTAGACTTTCGTTTGACAACAGAATATTGATGTCCGTTCATGATATCATATATTTTATTTGGGGGTCCTAGCCTGATGCGTCTGAGACGCAAGAGTCGTGCCTTTGCACGCGCGATGCCACGGTCACCACCCCTAGGGCGCCTTGCTGCTACGGCATTCGTGGTGCGTGCGCTCTTTCCCTCAAGGTGTAGTGCCATTTGGAAGAACCGAATGCAGGCGGATATGTGTTTTTCATTGGCTGCTTCTGTATTGTGACGTGGCATAGGTGAGTGCGCCATCATTTCGCAGTTTGACTGTGAAAGCGCAGAGCTGCGAGGGACGTGGCATCCCAATCAAACACTCTGCTCACAGGTCTGTATCAGAGCGTCGAGGAGAGAAGGGCGATTTCGTTTGCCTGCTCTTGGGTTTTTCTTTCTTCTTCACCCCATGGTTCACGTGGGCTGGTCTGCAGGTCAATTGCCTTGAAGAGCAATGTGGCTTGGCACCTTTTGCAGGTCAAAAACCCGACCAATGGTTAGTTCAAATTGTCTTGTTGTTGTGTTACCTTGGCTCTTTGATTTGGTTCTGGTCTGACCGGCCGAGCTTGGTCTCAGGTATCGCGTGCTGTTGGCCACATGGCTGCACACTGGCGTGTTGCACTGCTTGCTGGTACTGTTGCTATTGCACTTTTTGGGACCGGACCTGGAGCGGTTGGCGGGCTGGTTTCGCTTTGGTAAGCCGTTGTACCGCGCTTGCTTCTCTTGTCAAGATTGTATCGGTCTCACCTTGTTGACGAATCATACCTCCACACAAAAAGGGTTGATCTTCATTATATCAGGTGTTGGGGGCTTTGCGGTATCGGCGCTTTTTCCCGCATGGCGTTGACCATGGGCGCCTCGGGAGCATGTTTTGGCCTTCTTGGGGCGGTGGTATGTCTAGCTTGGGCCTCACACTGACTAATAGGAAACAGGGTCATGGTATCCTGTTCAGCGCATGTGCTGACCTGCAACGTAGTTGGTAGAATTGCTGCAAAAGTGGTCTTTTGTTCGCAATCCATGGCGACAGCTTCGAAAACAGCTCATCGTCATGGTCATCTGCCTGCTGCTGGGACTCTTGCCCTACGTCGATCAGTTTGCCCACTTTGGCGGCAAGTCTTTTTGCCTTGGTCCTCAAGCGCATGCGTTTGCCACGTGTTGCACCTCGGCGTCAAACGTTCCGACTGTTCTTGCACAAGCTCTGGGCGTGCTTTCTCTGTCTTTGCCCTTTGTCGCTTGTCGCTTTCCTCTGTATCTGGGGTCTGGTGCTTGTCTGTGTTTTGTTCATTCTCATTGGGCATCACCCTTGATAATCTTTCAGGCTTGATATTTGGCACACTGTCATCCATAGCACTGCTTCCCTTTGTGACCTTGTCACAGGCCGGGCAGCGATGGCAGCATGTCCGCCGTATCGTGGCCGCATCGGCCTGCATCGGCCTGCTTACGACCATATTCATCCTACTCTACACGGAGAGCTATCCTGATTGCGAGTACGTCATCCTTGTGGTCTTGTCACCCACCGTTTTTATCGTGCGGGGTGAGCCAAGATGCGACGGGCCAAAACTCACATCGCGTGCCCGATATGGTTGTGTCATCTTTCTTATTCGGTAGCTTTTGCCACTATATTGACTGCGTTGAGTTTGTCCCGGGCATCTGTAACCTGGATGTGCGTCTCGATCCGAACATCTCGGCGGTCATCACATGATCCCTTGATGCACTGTTCTGACTGTTGGCATGACCACTTCCGTGTCCCGGACTCTTCAGTTCTCGTGCACAATATGGTGGGTTTGAGCCTTGCGATGGACTTGAAATCGAGTCACTCCTCAACAGATCCAAATGAGCAAGGGGCAAGGGAGCAAACAAATCGACGATTCGGCGGAGTGCGGTCAATTTTGAGTAGAGAAAAAAGCATCAGGAACCTGACAAAGTCAACGGTCCTCGACCACACTCACACAGCACAGTCACAGTCAGGTGGAAGGCGGGTGCATGCCAGGAGGAAGACAGAAGAGGCTTGTTAGAGGTGACCGGGGTTCAGAGGGCCAAAGTGCTCAGCTTTGTGAACAAGCTGATTTTTGCTTTTTTTTAATGAAAATGAGGAAGCCGGGCAGTACATGGTGATACACCCTGACACATCCAGGCTCGAGCTAATTGGAACTGGGGCCTCGAGTAAAGGACTGTGGTCCAATCTGTTTACCGAGTCTGCTTGTTCTTGTTGAGGGCCAGGCAGCCGACACCGTAAACCACAAAGCAGATGATGCCGGTGGTGGCGGCCATCAGACCACGGTAGCGAGTCTTGTCAGCGGCGGTGCGCATGAAGAGGGCATCGTGCGAGGGCTATAATCCAACAGGCAAACGCAAAGGCGGGCCACCGAGCCGATGAGTGATCAAACGGACATGGCAGCAGGCTTTGCCCCAGCGCAGAGACCAACGAACACCTCATCCGCGCACCTGCTGGAAGAACTTTTGCATCTCAGGCACAATGTTGCGCTTGTTCACGAGCGAGTCCATGGCGACAGTTGTGGGGCCGGAAAGCGAAAGGGCAAAAACCGGTATACTGATCTAAGTTTTGATGGAACGACAAGGATGAGTGAGACCAGGCGCGCAGCAGCCAGAGAGGACGGGATGCCTCGACAGCCCTGCCCACAGCTACACCAACGAGTACTCTGAAGCAGCCCAGCGCCATTCAAGCAAGCCTCAGCATAAAAAGCACCAACAACCCTGCCTCAGCTTCGCATACAGCACCCAGTTCAAGGCACCAAGGGGTCTCTCACTGAGCGCTGCCCTTTTTTCACCACAGCTTCTCCACCATGCACCAAAGAAGACACGGAAGGTGTCAAGACTTGCCTTGTCTAAATAAATGAATGAGTGAGGGCCGGTTTTTACCCCTCTGTCCTATACAGAACATTCGCTGCAAATCCGCTGCCTTGCATCAAAGCCCGATCGCAAGGCCAATTTCAACACTATCCTCTTAAATTGAAACATATAATTGTCAGATTTCCGAGGCAAGTTGGTCTCGTGCTTTTTTTTCTTTTTTTTTGTGTGTGTGTGTTGCGCATTTATTTGCCTGACACAAGTGCTCGACGTCTCAGTCTTCTCGCGCGGGCGGATTGTTGTTCTGTGCACATCACCGCGAAACATGAGCCGCCACGTTCAGGCACTGGGCCTGTACGCCGGTCTCATGGGTATCGGTTATCTCCTCATGACATACACGAGCCCATCTGAGGAGGACATGCTCAAGGTTGGCTGCGAATTCTCACACTCATGGTTGAAAGCGCCTGCCGCTGCTTGCTTCGCCCCTGGCTGATGTCACGAAATGCCCGCTGGGTGGGAATGGATGCGCATGCATAGCGTCTTCCAGCGCGGGACCTGGAGCGCCGCCCTAAGATGCACGAAGAGAACAAGTTGTTGATGCAAAAGCTCAAGGACATTGCAGGTCAGCTCCTGCTTGCGGCCTGGGCCATGGGCCTCACGTCGTTCGGTTCGCCTCACACGTTGCCCCGCTGTGCGCGTGCACTTTCGCCTGCCTCAGACGGCAAAAGTTCAGCATGAAACATTGCTCGAGCGGCCTTTCAACCAATCAACCTACATCATGTCTTTGCGTCGTCGACCCTTGGGCCGCGCAATCTTCACCCTTTGATTTGAAATCACCACCTTCCATCTTGTTTGATGCTTTGACTCCCTGTGGCGAGTTACAGTATCAATTGACCAAATTCGACAAAACGTCCACCTTGCTTTTTTTTGGGCTGGGGCAGCAGCAGCAGCAGCATGACATACACCTTCTATTTGGGAGGCCTTGTTGTGTGCCGTCGGAATCGCTTGACACCATGGCGCGCCTTTTTCTTCTCAGAAAGGTGTTTCATCTCTCGGCTTTCCAACCAAGCGTACGGCAATGGCGACATCGGAGTCGCCAATATTTTCTCTTGCAGCCCATGCCCAAAGGCGGACTTTTGGCGGGCGCTGACAGCTAGCACCCGGCCAGCATGTGTGGCCCGATTTGGTAGCCCATGAACTAGTCCCAGACCGGCAGAGCCACTTGTTGACCACCTGTTACCAAGTCCAATCCCACCATGTCTTCTGGCGGCTGGTGCCAAGGCCATCAATTGGTTGTGGAAGCCCCGCGAGCCAGTTCGGCGCCATGCGCTCATATGGGAAGGCAGCCAGCTCGGTGCAAGCAAGCCTGCACCGCGCATACCAAGCAAGAAATAAATGATGCTTCACACCAGCGTTCTCTCAAAAAGCACACATAGACCATACTCAAGGCCAATGCCCCATCCTCATCACAAGATAGGCCTGGGTTGATCGAGCAGGCCTTAGACATACGGGCCCCAGTTCAGAGCAACTCGGACGGACGGGCGGACCACTCCGCAGGTCCCACTTGGAATTGTCAGCAGTGCTTCCTAATTTTGGTCATGGACATAGACCAGTATCATAGTATAACAGAAATCACACTTGTAAATATACAAGTGCGACATGATGTCACACTCTTTGCTTCACAACCAAAATCGTCATTCACCTCTGATGTGTGTTGATTTTTACTGTTGCACTGTTCTGTTTCACTGTTTGAATTCTTTTTTCCGGTTCTCCCTCTCTCTCTCTGTGTGTAAAATCAGTGCACACAGTTAGTTTCCTTTGGTCCGGTCGGTTTTATTGTTGTTGATGAACCCTCCCCCGCTCCTCGCTCCTCTGCTCGTCGCCCGTCTGGTCTCCCTGCTCCCGCTCGCCCCTCTTTCCTCCTCTGAAGAGTCTTTGAGCTCAGTGTTGCCGTTGCGACGCTGTCCTCTCTGGCCTCAGCACGAAAGCTGGTCATCGACGCCTGGGCTGCCTAGTCGCTTAATTTTTTATTTTTTTTCAAGTGGCCAAGCATTCCCTCACCATTCAAATTTTTGGCAGTGCCAGTGCGCTGTTCTGTTTGCACCACGTGTACCACGCCCAGCCCAGCGGGCGCATTGCAAATTCGAACATCACTTCCGTGGGCACGGCGGTGCCCCGGCGTTCCCTATTCATCGCCGCACGAACAAGCCTGATCCAGCGACTTGAGCACCGCCCGCCATGTCGTTTGAACTTTTGGAACAATCCTATCTTGTACGACAGCTCAGTAGATGCCGCCAACCCCGTGTACCCACTTGTACATGACAAAACATCTTCTCCTCCTAGCTCGTAGACTTTGCTCATGCCTTGAGACCCGACACCGGGCTTTGCTCACGTCTTGGTGCCCTCTGTTTTTGCGTACGCTCAGGCGGGAATCAACTACTATGCCCGTCATCACCTCTGGCGTCATGTTCAATCGCAAGTCAAAGAGGGGGTCAGTGATCTTCAATGCTCCTTGTGCTTGAACATCCTTTGTCGGCCATTCTTGTGGTGCCTCATCGGCACAAACTGATCTCGTTGTGCGCGCGCCTCATGCCGATGCTGTAGCTCAAAAAACTGGGCAATGACCCGGTCATGCACTTTTGGAAGGCCTTCAGTATGGTCGCAGAAGGTTCGCCATCCCTGAGGCTCTGCGGTCTTCAAATTTGTCTTTCTCACCTTGTGCCTTGCCCCGTTCCACTCTTTTCCCCTTCTGTTTCTCTTCCCACCATGGGTTACCAACTGCTCTTCCTGCCGTACTTGCTCATGCCCATGCGTTGGTTGGAGCAGGTCGGGTTCCTGAGGCCATGCGCGAGCTTGAGCGCTTGAAGGATAGCCGTGATGTCAGCCTCGCCGTGACCCTGGCCATGATTCACGCACACAAAAAGGCCAAGGATGTTGACCGAGATGCCATCAAGGAGCTTGAGGTGCGCTTGAGCCCAAGTAGTGGCAAGACCCTGCCTGTCAAAGCCCTATCCTCTTTGTCACTCGTCCTCGGACAAACTCATCATTCACCTTCAACTCTCTTATCGCACTCATCTGGACTCCATCTTGACGGGGATTGAATTGCCATGGCAGACTCGCGTGAAGGCACTGGTCAAAGAAAGCGGCGAAGTGGGCCTTCACCAGGGGGCCCTAGTCATGTGGCACATTGGCAAGCACGACAAGGCGCGCGATCTTGCCGACAAGCTTCTCAAGCTCAAGGGTGACTCGTGCGAGTACGTCCTGCTATGCTTGATTGGCATTCCCGTCTCAATCTCCGTTCGTGTGATTCGTGTGTGCGTCGGCCTCAAAGCGTTGCTCCCTTCTCATAACCCCATCTGCCCTCCTTCTTTTTTCGTGCATTCGTCCTGATACCAGTGGCCTTGCTCTGCGTGGGTGGATTGACTTGACAAGCGGCCGTGAAGCGCACGCCAAAAAGGCTGGCCGCTACTTTGAGGAAGCACTCAAGCCCTTTCAAGGTCAGCGCATCAAACTTGACCACCTTTGTTGAATTTTCATCCCCCCGCGCCGCTCTCCGTGCTGCTCAATTCTCGCTCAACTGATCTTTTCGCCCCATTGTCTCAACTCGCAGATGATGCCAACAAGACCCATCTCGAGGGGCTTCTTGGTCTGTGTGCCTTTCACCAAGCCATCTCGCTCGATCTCTCGGCTGCTCTTGATGTCATCAACAAAGCTGTTGTCCTTTTTCCCAGCTTCTGCCCCGTGCATGAGGTCAAAACAGAGATTCTGATGGGATTGGGTGATTGGGAAGGTGTCAATGACGCCATCCGTCACTGCCAAAGTGTGGACAGCAATGCAGTCCGTGCCCTCTATCATCAATGCCTCTACACTCTGGCCAAGCAGGGTCGCTACGACGACGCTGCTGGCATGCTCGGCCAGCTGATTGCCCAGCTCGACGCCACGGAACCCAACAATCACGAGGCATTCTTCATCATGAGCCAGGCCCCGGCTCGCTTGGCCGGTCGTCACTCACTTGTCTTGCAGCAAACTCGCACCATGTTGGATCGCGCCATCAAGATTGCGGGCGAGACTGCCAAGCTTCTGAATGAACAAGCACTGCAGGTCTTCCGCCGCGATCACATTCGCGAGGCTGGCAAGACCTACAAAAAGGCCATGGCGAACGATGAGACCTCAGTCGACGGCTTGACCGGCCTCATTCTCTGCCAAATCCTTGTGGGCCAACTGGATGATGCCGAGCAACAGATTGACTTTCTGCAAGAGGTGCAGCAGACAACGGGCCGCACTGCTCAGCTGGCTTATCTGCGTGCCCTCCTGGCCAGCAAGCGTCAGCAGAGCCCACAGTCGATTGTTGCACTCTTGGATGAGGCCACACAATTGCATTTGGAAGCCTTGAAGGGCCAGGCCGTGGGGCCTGAGTTCTACCTCCAGCTTGACCCCGAATTTGTTCTGGATCTGGTCAAGCTGTACCTGCAGTACTGCCCAAGCGAGCCGCCAGCTCAGGGCGACTCGCCAACCCCCGTGCTTGCCAAGGCCAGCAAGCTCCTTGAATTCTTGACCAAGCACGTCCCCGGCTGTGTCGAGGGTCTCTACCTCCTCGCACGAGCCAAGTACCTGAGCGGTTTACTCACGGCCGCCCAGTCGGGCGCGCAATACTGCCTGCAACTGAACAAGGGTTATGCCGATGCCCACCTCCTCATGGCCCAGATCCAGCTGCAGCAGAACAACCTCGCCTCTGCCAACCAGTCCCTGCAAGCCGGCCTCAGCATCAACTTTGAGGTCCGCGACATGCCCATGTACCACGTCATCAACGCGCGTGTGCTCGCGGCTGAGGGCAAGCATGGGGAAGCCATCAAGGCTTTGACCACCGCCATGGCCCTGCCGGGCGTCAAGCGCAGCTACCAGACTGTCCAGGGCGCCAAGAAGAAAGTCCGCAAGACCATCACCATGAGCGACCGCGTGACCGTCTTCCTCAGCCTTGCCGAGGCGTACGAAACCACGGGCAACTCGGATGAAGCCCAAAAGGTCATTGCCGACGCCAAGTCGGAGTTTGAAAACACCCCCGAGGCCGTGCGCATCACCATTGCCGAGGCCGATCTCGCGGTCAAGCGCCACGAGGTGGACAGCGCACTCATGTCGTTGCGCTCCATCACGCCTGACATGCCCTACTTTGTGCAGGCCAATGAAGCCATGGCCCAGATCTATCTGCACCATCGCAAGGACAAGCGCCAGTACGTCGCCTGCTACAAGGCCATGGTCGACGCGGCGCCAACTTTGCATGCGCGCATGCTGCTCGGCGATGCGTACATGGGCATTCAAGAACCGGAAAAGGCCATCACCGTTTACGAGGCAGCCTTGAAGGAGGATCCGCGAAATGGTATCCTGGCCTCCAAAATTGGTAATGCATTGGTTCGCACGCACGACTTTACAAAGGCCATCAACTACTACGAGTCGGCCGTGCGTGGCGGTGGTCAGGCTGCTCTTCGCATCGACTTGGCGCGCCTGTATTTGAAGCTGAAGCAGGTCGACAAGGCCCAAAAGGTTCTCGACGCCGCGCTCAACCGCGAGGATAAGCAGCCCGATAGCCTCGAGAGCATGATGCAGGACGTCTCTTTTCATCAAATGCAAGCTCAGCTCCATCAAACTTCGGGCAACGGCAGCGCAGCCGCCACTGCCCTGCGCGACGGCCTCAGTCTGCAGGTGCGCGTTCTCCATCTGTTGGCCATGAAGAGACTATTTTTTTTGGCTGACTCGTTGCATTTATCTCCCACCCCCACCCCCACCCCCTCTTTTTTTTTTTCTTCCTACCCCTCCCCATCCCCCTGCCAACTCACCCTGATCTTCGCTTGTAGCGCCGTGTACTGGCTCGCGTGAGCACGGAGCAACCCGAGTCGTTGAAGGAACAACAGCAACTGGCCGCTACCATCTGCATGGCACTGGCCGATCACTCCATGGAGCAGAAGGACACAAGTGCAGCTATCGCGGCCTACAAAGATGCTCTCAGTTATAATGAGAGCAGCGGCGAGGCCATGCTGGCCCTTGCCCAGGTCCACAAGAAGCAAGGCGATATGGAGGCTGCACAGTTCCAACTCAGCACCCTCCTGCACTCGAACAGCGTGGTCAACGAGGAGGCCAAAACACAGGCAGCCATTGACATGGCTGACATCATGTTTCGCAAGCATGAATATGAAACCGCCGTCTTTCATCTCCAGCAGGTAATTCGATTGGTTTTGATCGGTAATGTGGGGCGCTCTTGGGGCCATGCATTCTCAATGGCTGCTTGCGCGTACCAGATCACCTTCTCTCATTCGCCTCTTCCAATTCCCTTTCCCATCTTCTCATCCATAGCTCCTGGAGCGCAACCCAGAGCAGTACCGGGCTCTGGCCAGCATGATTGATCTGCTACGCCGCACCGGCAAGCTCGAGGCCTGCCAGAAGCACCTTGCCGCAGCCGAGCGTGCCTGCGATCGTCCCGAGTCCCACCCGGGCCTCGCCTACTGCAAGGGCTTGGTGGAACGTTGGCAACATCGCCCCAACTCTGCACTGTTGCACCTCAACAAGGCTCGTCGCGATGCTGAGTGGGGGGTTGATGCTCTTTACGCCATGATCGACGTGTGCTTGAACCCGGAAAACGACACGGTTGGCGGCGAAGCCATGACCAAGTAAGGCACGCACCTTGACCTGTCTTGGTAGCCCCCAGTCCCCCCGCCTTGTTTCGTTTTGGCGTGGCGCTCGTTGTGTTGGCTCGTGTTCACATGATGCTCACGCATCGATGTCTTGCTACCCCTGCCCTATCAGCAAACCCGATCAAGAGGCACTTGAAGTCGGTGCCCAGACAGCGTCCAAGCTCATCAACGAGCTGCTTGCCTTTAACGAGGGCGATACGGTAGGTCCCACTATCCGATTTGATCCAATTGTTGTATGTGCAGTAGCTTGCGGCTTTAATAATCACGGAGGGCCCTCCCGATATCCGCTTAGCTGCGCTTCAAGAGCCGTCAAAACCACATCCTGTTGATGCGTCGTAACAACAAGGATGACTTTGAGCGAGCCCTTCAGGGCTTTACGCAGTTGGCCAATGTTTATGTACGTTCTCTAGAAGGCTGCACTCAGTCCTGCCCGCCTGACGGGCACGCTGCGCTACCCTCCTTACCCATCCTCGTTGCGCTGTCTTTCATGCTAGCCCGACCACGTGGCGCCTATCCTGGGTATTGCGCGAGCCCATGTGCTGATGCGAAACGCCCCCAAGGCCCGTCAACAGTTGAAGCGCGTGGCCAAAATGGATTGGTCGCACGAGGAGGCCGAGGAGTATGAGGTAGGTGTGAGAGGCACGTGGCCAGGCCCAGCTGGCTCTTTCTCCAAAGGCGTTGGCCTTTGGTGGGTGTTCCAACTCCGGGCTCCCTTGTGCTTGATCTCACCCAAAAACTTGTCTGTGGCCGCACTTGGCTGTCGTAGGGAGCATGGCTCTTGCTGGCCGACCTGCATGTCAGCAACGGCAAGTTTGACCTGGCGCAGGAGCTGCTCAAGAAAGTACTCCAGCACAACAAATCGTGCAGCAAGGCCTGGGACTACATGGGCTACATCATGGAGAAGGAGCAATCTTATCAGGTTGGTGCCTGTGGGCAAGCGTGAGGATGAGTGCTGTACCTACAACAGCCAGAGTGCTTATTTTCTGCTTGTCCTATGCTAGAACGCCGCCGAGCTCTATGCCAACGCTTGGGAATACAGCGGTCGTAACGACCCCAGTACTGGGTACAAGCTGGCCTTTAATTATCTCAAGGCCAAACGCTTTGTGGATGCCATTGATGTGTGCCATCGCGTACGTTGATTGCGCTCTGCATGTGCCTCGTCTCCACCTTGAGCAAATTTGAGCTGGTACATGACTTGCCTGGGCACTTTGATTCGCTACTTGCCTTTTTTTTTAGGTACTGGAGGTGAATCCGGACATGTCAAAGATTCGCAAGGATGTTCTGGACAAGGCGCGCGCTGGTCTGCGCATGTAATTGCGCCCGCCCGTGTGCCTTCGTCCATTCTGCTGTTGATGCATGCGCTGCATCACCCTGCGACCGGTCTTGGTAGTTGGGAACCATCTCGACGGTTTTCGTTGTTCTTGTTTCTATGTCACATGACATGGTATGAACGCCCATCTGCGCCGATGGTCATGATGGCGTCGCAACTTTCCAGGTTGATGAAAAGTGGTGGTTTAATGTGTTCTTTAGCTCAACCACGCCAAAAGTGACTGTTGATGAACATCCCGTTCCTTCCATTTTGTGCGACACCTGCGTGGTAAGGACCTGATGCCGAACGTGGTATGCACGAAAGCCTTTTCAAACACATGTCCAAGCGTTGCTATGAAATCAGACATGGTTGTAAACTCCAAGGAGAGGCGGGGGCACTGCGTGCCGACAACGCAAGGCGTTGTCGGCGTGCGGCGTGAAAGTATCGATACAACCACCGGACCAGCTTTATTGTCGTAACTGTAGTATGTTGCGTTGACACCACACACACACACACATACGAAAGACTTGCTTGTGACATTTTTCTTTGATCAAGTCGTGTTTGGCAAACGCTTGGTGATGCGGTGACGGTGTCAATTCTGAGTCAGTGCCAGAGCAAATGCTCAGTCCATGACGTGAGCAAAGAAAGACGTTTGAGCATGGCGGTGCCTGCGCGCCAGGAGACGGCCGCGCTGGCAGCGCATCGAGCGGAGGCTTGGCGGTTTTGGACAGACGTGCTGGGCGCTCCCCGCCACGTGTGTGCGCCCATGGTCTGGAACAGCGAGGCTGCCTTTCGCTGTCTTGTGCGTGACCATGGTGCCCACTTGGCATACACACCAATGTGGCGAGCAGCTATTGTATGCCAGTACCGCGATAGTCCAGAGTGGACGCCGCGCACGCCCGCGGAGAAGGAAGCCGCAGGTATACTCTATGACGTACAATGTGCCCCAGAGCAGGACCGACCGCTCATCGCCCAGTTGTGCGCCACCAAAGTCGAAGATTTTGTGGCTGCAGCGCAAATTCTCGAGCCCTTTGTAGACGCCATCGATCTCAACTGTACGTGCGTGTAATGGCGAGTGGGGACACGGTGGCTTTGCGCGTGGCTTGCCCACGAGACCGCTCTAACCCCTCCTTTTTCCGTTGGCAGTGGGCTGTCCGCAAAACACGGCAAAGCGCGAAGGCTTTGGGGCCTATCTCATGGATGATTTGCCTCGCGTTGAAGCCATGCTAAGAGCCGCACGCGCCGTTCTGCACAAGCCGATCACAGCTAAAGTCCGCCTCTTCCCGACCCTCACGGCCACCCGCGCCTACTTGCAAATGTTGGAGGCAGCCGGTTGCTCCCTGATTGCCATTCATGCACGATTGCGTGGACAACGACATCACCAAGGGCAGCCCGACTTTGCCATGGTGCGTGAGGCCCGTGATGCCGTGGACATCCCACTGCTGGTCAATGGCGGCGTGCGCAGCCTGCGCCAGGCGGAGAGCGTTCTCGAGTACACGGGGGTCGCAGGCGTTATGGTGGCCGGTGCTCTGCTCGAGTTGCCACGCCTCTTTGCGGGACAAATGGATTTGGCGCGTTTGGCCGATGCCAGGCTCTACCTACAATATGCCGAGCGCTACCCGCCACCCGCCATTCGCTATGTTCGAGATCACCTCATGACCCTTTTAAAGCCTGTGCTTTATGCCCATCTCTGGCTCGACCTTTATAACCTCGTCAACCGCAATCGCCGCGTTTGCACCCTGGAGCAGTATCGTCTCATCCTTGCTGTCCTGGAACATCGCCTGCAATACCATCGTGCGCCCACCCATGGCCCCAGTGATGAGCGTCTCGACCAAACAGATGTACCGGCTTTGGAGGATGCAGTCGCGTGTTTGAGTCTGCAGGCCAATCCCCAAGAAAATGTGATCCAACCCGCGGCTAGCATCGACCCCCAAACCCAGCCTTCCTGCACGCCAGACCAGCCTGCGCTTGGAGGCACGGCCACACTTAGCACGGCAGAAGGCTTGCCGGTTCACAACTACACGAGTTTTCGTGCGCCAACCCGGCAAGCCATCGACTTTCGCTGCACCTTGTGCGACACGGTGCCCACCCTCCGCGCCATTGTTCATTGCGCAGGTACGCCCCTTCCATATGAGCTGAGCTCTTGATCTTCTTATCTAAGACGGGGACGACAGCGCTGTGGGGTGGAGGTGATGCCGATGCGCATGATCCCATGATCCACTAATGCTCTCCCAAAATAAACAAAGTCCCCTTTAAAATTCATCAATTGAAGTGTAATCAACAGCAGACTATCGTCCAGCCAACTTGGTGATGGTGATTTGATTTCGTTTTGTGCTTTTCCAACAGGCTGCCTCAACACCCCCTCCCCCTCCTTGTGGCCACACACGGTACTGACAGGAGAGGTGAGGTGAGGGGGATGGCAGTGGCGGCCAGCGGGAGGGAGCTTGCTTAAAAAAGAAACCGCAGCTGCACGCTACTCCTGTCGCTTCCTTTCTCTCTGTTTATCTTGATTGATGACAGCCCGAATGTCTGAACCTCGGGCTGCAGCCGAGCGGCCAGCATCGGCCGCCCGTCTGGCTGCTCGCATTCCAGCTCCCGAACTTCCCAAACGTGCCTTCGTCGGCCCCTTTGATTTGAAAGACGCTTGGCGTGTACGCTTTGACCCTGATGTATTGGAGGAGGAGGAGGACGTAAGTGCCTTTGCACCCCAATTCTGCATGCACCGCTGTGACGGCTCGCGCTCAGTTTTATCAGGCAGCTGATTTAGGATGTGGTAGCACGTTTTGCCCATCCTCGATCTCATCCCAACCGTACCCCGCCATCTATTCGCAATGGCTGTCTTTTTTGACTTTGAAAATTTTCGCCTTGACTCTGTTAGGATACGCAAGGGCGTGAGGCACACCTATTGCCTGCCATTTGTGAGGACCTGCTCTTCGACTTTATCCAAGAACCAATCCGCGATATTGTAGCCGAAACGTGGAATTCCTCAAATTTACGTGAGGCCGCTCTAGCCGCAGACACCCTGCTGAACGAGGTCATTCGGAACGATGTACAGCGCCTCACACAACGTCAGGTGCAGCGCCATCTCCTCGCATTAGTTGGGGCTCGGTTGCGTCGAGAGATTTTTGACCAAGTTGTCCACCGACTGCTTCGGGAAACGGTGGTTGATACGGTCGCCGATATTTATGGCGAAGCCTTCTCCTTGGTGGTCACACGTGACTTGATCAACAGCGTAGTCACTGAAGCTGTTGAAGCAGCACGGCCTAAACCACCATATCGCCGACTACTCTCACCCGTGAGCCGGGGTGAGGTCATGGATAGCCAAGTGCCGCATGACCATCCCGTTCGACCGATGCCCGGCTGTGCACCGCCCGCCGAGAGAACCAGCTCACGTTTGGACAAGAGTTTTGAGCGCAGTCGCCCCATGGTTTTGACCAAAGGCATGTTGACCCTCTCAACGTGAAGCCCGATTCCACAAGTCGGTGGTCACACTTCGCAGGTAAACCACCCGGTGGGGTCTTGGGCTTGCCCGTACCCCTGGCCGTCCTCACGTTATAATGGTTGTAAATTTGGTTGATCTGATCTGTGGCTGCGCCACCTTGAATTTTTGATCATGAATTGACGGTTTTAAATGAGAGCGTTCGAGCAATGCGTATTCAAAAATCTATTCATTCAAGTGCAAAGCATTTTATCGCGACTTTGGAGTAGCTAATTACATGGATATAATATTGATCGAGTATGCGGTCTGCCCCACCGATAGCATCGTAACCTCCAAAAAGAATAATCCGGTTGCATGGGTATTGGTGTAGGATATTGACCTCGCCTTGTCTGTCAGGATGAGGCTGGTCATCGCACTGACAACGTTGTGGTTTTGATCACGCAACGATACACCCACGATAATCGACAATCCGTCGAAAAGAAAGCTTGTGCTGACTGTAGCCCCACTGGGCACATAGAAGGAATAGTAGTCAGGGTCCGTTAGGGAGATCTGGGTACATGTGGCTGAGAGCGGTAGCAGCACATGGCTGGCCTGCTGAAGATTGTTGTTGGGCTCGCTCTCATCCACGCCAGCGTTGCACACCGTTTGCGCTGCGATTGCCGACGGAGACGGAGTCATAATGCTGGTGCTAGACGTGGAGCTGGTGCTGGAAGTAGAGCTTGTGCTAGAGGTAGAGCTGGTGCTTGAGGTGGAACTGGTGCTAGAGCTTGATGTTGTACTCGAGGTTGAGCTTGTGCTGGATGTTGAGCTGGAGCTAGACGTGAAGCTGGTGCTGGAGGTAGAGCTTGTGCTGGAAGTAGAGCTTGTGCTGGAGGTAGAGCTTGTGCTAGAGCTTGATGTTGTACTGGAGGTAGAGCTCGTGCTGGAAGTTGATGTAGTACTGGAGGTAGAGCTTGTGCTGGAAGTAGAGCTGGTGCTAGATGTTGATGTAGTACTGGAAGTAGAGCTGGTGCTAGAGCTTGATGTTGTACTGGAAGTAGAGCTGGTGCTAGATGTTGATGTAGTACTGGAAGTAGAGCTGGTGCTGGAAGTAGAGCTTGTGCTGGAGGTAGAGCTTGTGCTGGAGGTAGAGCTTGTGCTGGAAGTAGAGCTTGTGCTGGAAGTCGAGCTTGTGCTGGAAGTTGAGCTGGTGCTGGTTGTTGATGTAGTACTGAAGGTAGAGCTGGTGCTGGAAGTAGAGCTTGTGCTGGAGGTAGAGCTTGTGCTAGACGTCGAACTGGTGCTAGAGGTTGATGTAGTACTGAAGGTAGAGCTTGTGCTGGAAGTAGAGCTTGTGCTGGAAGTCGAGCTTGTGCTGGAAGTAGAGCTGGTGCTGGATGTAGAGCTGGTGCTAGATGTTGATGTAGTACTGGAAGTCGAGCTGGTGCTGGAAGTAGAGCTGGTGCTGGAAGTAGAGCTTGTGCTGGAAGTCGAGCTGGTGCTGGAAGTCGAGCTTGTGCTGGAGGTAGAGCTTGTGCTGGAAGTCGAGCTGGTGCTGGATGTAGAGCTGGTGCTAGATGTTGATGTAGTACTGGAAGTCGAGCTGGTGCTGGAGGTAGAGCTTGTGCTGGATGTAGAGCTTGTGCTGGAAGTAGAGCTTGTGCTGGAAGTCGAGCTTGTGCTGGAAGTCGAGCTGGTGCTGGATGTAGAGCTGGTGCTAGATGTTGATGTAGTACTGGAAGTCGAGCTGGTGCTGGAAGTAGAGCTGGTGCTGGAAGTAGAGCTTGTGCTGGAAGTCGAGCTGGTGCTGGAAGTCGAGCTGGTGCTGGAAGTAGAGCTGGTGCTGGATGAAGAGCTGGCGCTGGAGGTTGATGAAGTACTGGAGGTGGAGCTGCTTGATGAATTACTGGAAGTAGAGCTGGTGCTAGAGGTTGATGTAGTACTGAAAGTGGAGCGAAAGCTAGTACTTGATGAGCTGGTGCTCGAGGTGGAGCTAGTACTCGATGAAGAGCTGGTGCTTGAGATTGAGTTGATACTGTGAGTGGATGTGACGGTGGAATCAGAAACGCTAGTCGTGGCACTTGATTGTTCCAGCGCAAAGTTCTGCGCAGATTCGGTTGTGGACACCGTGGGGTGTATAGTAATGCAAAAAGCCGATCTACGAGAGAAGAGAATAAAACGATCAAGTCATGGCCACATTTGCATGCGCGTTTTGGAGACCTCGCCAGCCGGAGCCCCGATCCGGCGAGGATGGTTCAAAGACAAACGGAAGAAATGGCGAAGGCACGCTGAGAACAAAAAGGGAAACAAGGATGAGAGAAAAAAAATGCAAGTTTCATGATTCATGCAAGCACGCAAAATGGGGTACACTTGACCGTGTGAAACTCAAGTACGAGGGCGGGCAGCTTCGAACTCCTTGATGTAAAAATCGTGAAGGCTGGCCCTAGGTTCCCAGGTTGCCTCCTCCTTTGAGTAACCCATCCACTTGACGAGATACTCGATACGAGGACGGCCCGCACGGCCCTTGGGCCGCACAGTGCGCTTGTCGAGCAAAGTCTCGACTAGATAGTACTCGCCATATGAGTCACGAGAAACTGGAGCAGGACGGAAGTCCTCTGCTGCATTTGCCGGAAGGTGGTAACGGCGTAGATGCTCGATGTTGATAACTGGATGGGCGCGGACGTCGTTCGGCAGCTCAAGTCGATATGCATTCGCGCTCACGCGCTCGAGTACCTTGAATGGCCCAATGCAACGGGCGCCCAATTTCGAGGAGTGTGTGGCACGATCTGTGGGTGACCGCACCGCCTTGATGGAGACCACCACCCAGTCACCGGGCTTGAACTCCACCATGTTGACCTTCCGGTCATAACGTTCAGCCGCCTCTTCCTGGCCG